GGTCATGCCTCTCTGGGTTATGCCTCTGGGCTTGTGGTAGTTGATGCGGGGTTCGAACGTGGGGTGTGGTATGACTCGCGGAGTAGCGATAGCGTCGTGAAAATTTTCGTGCGGAATTTCTAGGCTTATAACTATTGGGCAAAAGGATCGTCTAATCCTTCTGCTCTTTAGTTATGATGCCTTATATATTCGGTAACATTAGCGTACGTAGTGGGCAAAGGAGGTGCGAAACCCCACCTTCTTCTCTTCTGCTTCGTATAGTGAAGGCCTCTTCAATTTCTTTTTATAACTCAAGGTATTCTTCTTTTAGAATCACAGACTGGTGCTACTCCAGCTTAACGGCATCGCGCGACCTCTACCGCAACGCCGAAACTTAATCGTCCCTTATACCCTACCTCTACCACATCTAATATGTACACATACGCCCCTATAGGACACCTTTTTTGACACCCTAATTGTCTGCACAGGCAGCTTTGTGGTGATCCCTCGGGGATACCGGACATTATTCGGTCACGTGATAGTGAAAGTTTTGCCAGGCTGTATATAGTCTGCTTACTAGAACGTATATGCGTTTTGTTTTCCTCTCACTATGTCACGTGACCCTTGGTCACCCTCACTGCCTGGCAGGCCACCTCCATCGTGCAACTCCCTGTAGCTAGACTCCTCATACATACACACAATACATACGCTGACCTATACTCACTATCATATTCTATATAGCTCTCTCCATCGCTCGACGTAGCTTCAACTGCAAATGCGGACGTCACCATCCGCGACCGGAAGATCGTCATATCGGTAAGAATAATTTGCAGAACGCTTCCAAGTTACCTTCGGGGGTTGAAGTGGTCCGCGCCATATCAGGAAATACGTTTTGCCCTTCTGCTCGAACGCGCTAGAGGAGGCTTCATACAAACACAACGTCAAATGTGTACGTGAGCATCCTCATGGCTGGCCGCACGCTCGAAGATTGTAGCAAAAGCTAATATAAGGCGGTCCATTCGATATGGATGTCGATGGACCCAGGCGGCAGATGGCCGAGCAAGTCTGAGGCGCCGCTCAAACTCCACCATCCGCAGCACCAAAAGACCCGGGCATACCAAGTCCGTTCCTCATCGCCATTAGACCGCCCATTACGTCTCTCAGGCCTGACACCGTGTGACCATCCACTAAGGCCCGAAAAGGCCTCTCACTCAACCATGCTATCCCTCCTCAAGCACGTGTCCACAAACTCCTGCCTCAGCAGATCCAGCCGCAGCCGCTCGACATCCCACTCGCACGCCTGGCTCTCTACATGCAGCACTAAGGAGCTGAAGTGGCCAAACGCCTTATCGCAGCCACGAGCCCGGCACATGAATGGCGAGAGCAGGCCCTGGTTCATCCAGCTCGTCACCTCCCTGAGATTGACCCAGCCGGAGCGGATCTGCGCGTGAAGGTCAAGGTCCATGTAGAGCGGGGAATACCAGGATCGACCGAGGCAGAGCGTGAACAGGGAGGGGTCGGGGAGACGTGGGCACCGGCTAGATTCCAGGTGGTTGATAAGACTGCTGTGGGTGCGCATTGGGGTGGCGCAGCCCCAGCAGGTGAGGGTTGCGGTCGCGTGCTTGGTCATGTGCTGCGAGCGCGTTAGCATCATCCGGAGTAATGGTACTGTACATGGCGAGCTGTGGTGGACCTACGATGTGGTAGTTGCCCTCGTGGTTTGTGTGGTACCCGCATTCGGGGCAGGAGAAGCACGCATCCAGATGAGCCGCCAGTCCCACCTGACCTGGACAAGGCTCGCCGCAGTTTGGGCATCGGATGCCGAACTTGCAGTGCTCGTGGTGCTGGGCGAGCTTCGTCTGGCTGGGGAAGATGCGTTTGCATCCCTCGCACCGGAAGTGGTCTTCTTCAAGATGCTGCTCCAGAACGACCATGTTCGGTGCGTCAAAGTCGCAGCCCGGCTGGAGGCAGTGCTTGTGCTCTGGCTATAGTCAGCTCAAAGAAACCATAGTACTTGAACGGGAGAGCTAGTGCCGGTTCCCACCCTGGGCCCGCTCCAGAAAAACACTTGTAGTGCAAGGGCTTTCGCTGAGTGCCCCACGGGAGATGGCGCAAGCAGTACATCGGATTGGGATCGAATACCTACTCATTGTATTGATCCAATGCGCGTCCCGCTCATCTTGATTGCGAAACTTGCGGTGGCACGTGTGGCACCACACATGCTTCTCGCCCGTCTGCAAATGCTTGTCCAGCTCGATCTTGCTACGAAAGCCCAGCAAGCAAGTCAGACACACGAACTCGTGTCCGACGTGATAGTTGTTCTCGAAGTGGTTCTTCAAGCCCCATGAGTCCTTGAATGCGCTCAGGCAGAGGTTGCAGAATATGTCGTGTCCCAGAGAGTAGTCGACGTGGTTCTTGAGCCCGTTCCGGTCTTTGAACACGCGCTTGCAGAGGTTGCAATAGTTCTCGTGCTTCGGCACCTGCTTAATGTGCGTGAGGAGAGCATTCTTGCAGGGAAACTTTATGTGGCAGACGCCGCACCAATTCTCGTGCGGGTCTTCGGGCTTGTCGGTGCTGGTCTGCGTCGAGCCGGAGAACGTGCGCGTCTGCTTCGGCCCGTGGTGAGCGGAGGGCACCTTGTTCTCATCGCGGATGATTAGTGTCTTCGCCTTCGACTTCGTCCTCTGCGCTCCGCGCTTGACCTCGTGCCAGGAATTCGCGTTGTCCTCCGCAACCTGGTTCGCAAATGGGCTGAACTTGTTGGGAGCCTCGGGGCTCGGCGAGAGGCTCTCATCGTCTTCGGCGAACAGCGCGAAGCGGTTGCCGCGTTTCGCGTCCATGGTATCAGTCGTGCTGGAGAATGGGGGGAGTGCGAGCGTGGCGGGATGCGAAAGGATGCTCTTGTATGTCGTTTGGGAAACGCGCCAAGACAGGAGGCCACGTGACAGTGGTTGCTACGTTAACCTTGGAAATAGCAAGCGCAGTGCGACCGGGCCAAGCGGAAGGAGACAGCGAGGTGCATGATGCAGGTGGCGGGATGGGCAGGTGACTGTAAGGGCAGAGGAAGAAATAGGTGAAAAGGAACAGCGTCCCTTCTCATCGGTCGAAAAGGGGCCCTGTTCGCACCCGCGAAGGCCTCCTGGGTAGCTGCCCAGGTGTTTCGCACGTCGTTCTATCCAGGGAATTCCACACCGTGGGAGGGGCCCCAGCAAAAGGATAGAGCTAGATATCTAGATAAGGAATCATCATGTTTGTTTGCATATGTTATCCGAAAGGGAAGGGACCATCGGGGAGGACGCGAGAGGAGTGGAAAGCGCGTAGGCAGCCATCGCTGCAGGCATCCGAAACCTGCCCCCTGCCGGCATTATCTTTAAGAGCCCGAGCCCGAGCAAGACGCTGCACCGTCAAAGACATTCTTTTATCTGCGTTCCGGCTGCTGGAGTGGTGCACGGAGCAGGTTGGATCAATTTTCTCGGGAGGAGCCTGAGGCGGTGGAGGAACGCGCATCGTGGCTAGATCGTAAACCGGCCAGTCTCCCCAGAATCAATGATCCTGGTTTTCACCTATGTCGAGCAAGAGCAAGTCCCTCTTTTCATGCAAATTGCTGAGGAGCTGTGTGGTGTGGTAGAGTTGAGGTGTCGTACATCTGAGATAGACGGTTCGGCATTTCCAGTTGCCGAGCCGCGGGCTTGGCGGCTTGGCGGTCTAGATCTTCTCGTTTCTAGCCAGCGCACTCTCTGTTTCGTCTCACCTAGCACACACCATTTCTAACCCCAATTGCGCCATATAATCTGGCCATGGACTCTCGCTCGCCCACTTTCCGCCGTCCCCGCCCGCGTGCTTCTTGTGGCCACCTTCCTATTCTTTCCCTTCAGCTTCGCACGTCCGGGAAGCATGGGGAAACTGAGCGATACAAGAGAGAACATCGAAGACATCACTGAGCCTGATGAGTCCGCCGGACCGAAACGATCTTGGACGAGGGTTTGCCTCTCGCCCCATGGGGGTCGTAGGAGAGTGTTTGGACTGCCTCTTCGATGGCTCCTCGCAATCGCTATCGCCGCAACGGCCATCGCAACGATTGTGTCTGCCGTTCTGGGCACTATCTTACCGCGAAGGGCCGCGGGGCGAGTGCCTCCGACTGGGAATTATCCTACAGATGCGCCATTCCGTGAAGTACTTCGCTCCAACTTTCCGGATCCAACCCTCCTACGACACAACGGAACGTGGTACGTGTACGGCACGAATAATGCTGCCGGGATCCTACGAAGCAAGCTTCACGGCAAATCCAAAGGTCTTGGTAAGGCGAATGTACAGCTTGCGACCTCCTCGAACCTCTTGAACTGGACATTACACGATCAGGCCGACGACCCCCTGCAGGTCCTGGGAGACTGGGTATCCAAGAAGAATATGCCAGCCGAGGCGGACAGAAGCGCCCTCGTCCGAAGAGCGAATGTCTGGGCTCCTGATATCCTCCAACGACCAGACGGAAAGTTCGTCCTTTACTATTCTGCGACGTCCGCGAATGCCTCACATCATTGCGTTGGTACCGCCATTGGTGACATACCAACTGGACCCTTCGAATCTCAGAGTACTCCATTAGCTTGCCCGGTCGAGCGCGGAGGAGCAATCGATCCCGCTTCGTTTACTGATTCAGACGGATCAATCTACGTCTCGTATAAAGTCGACGGCAATGCGAAAGGCAACGGCGGCCAGTGTGGCAACAGCGTACCTCCGCTGAAGGATACCCCAATCCTTCTACAAAAAATGGAGCGGGATGGCATAACACCTTCAGGATCTCCAGTCAAGATTCTGGATCGTACAGATGAAGACGGTCCCCTGGTCGAAGCACCAGCTCTCTTTAAGTCCGATGAAGACATCTATTTCTTGTTCTTTAGCTCGGGATGTACGCGGAATCCATCTTACGATCTAAAGTATGCAACGAGCATGAACATCACTGGACCGTATATGCGAGCTTCTGGGGAATTACTCAAGACCGGTTCATATAGCCTCTACGCTCCCGGGAGCGCGTCGATATGGCGGGATGAGCAAGATTGGTGCATGGCTTTTCACGCTCGCGTGTACACTGACGCGGGCGGCATACGAGCGATGTATATCGCCAACTTGAAGCTGAACGGCACAAGAGCATGGCTTGAAGTGCCTTCTTGATTTGGCTAAGGAAAGATCACGTTGATAAGAAAGAGATACGGAGCGGTTCCCAACCGCAGTCTACCTCATGCATTCGCAGACTCCAGTCATTCCTCTCCTCTGCAGGGAGGTCCTTCTTTCACGCGGAACAAGATGAAACGAACTTATGCAGCCGCGCCGCACCCTCAGGGCAGAGGCACCCCGATAAGATGACGACGGCGACGCCGTTCATCTGCCCTCATACGCCTTGACAATCATGTCACGGTATTCCTCATACCCTCTTTGGCGAATGGTCTCTTTCGCCTCCGCTTTAGCTTTCTCCTCGCCACTCAAACGCTTCATCTTCATCTTCACTGCGTCCTGCCGTGCATTCTCCTCTTGATCGGCTTCGTCCAGTGTCTCCTGGAGAGGAATGTGCTTCTCTACAAGGTCGTGAGCAATTGCATAGGAGCGAAATGAAGGAATATACTGACTCCCGCCCATGCCCTCCTTCTTAGCTCTCATGAGCCATACGCGTGCAATTTGACGGAGCTTCTGCTCTAGCGCCCCAAGCAGAATAATGCGGTTCAACCCTGGAGCCTCGGATTCCTGCCTTTCGCGCATCACGAGATGTTCGGTATGCTTCGTATAAACTTCAAGCGACTCCAAAGATCCTATGCCCACAACAACATCGAAGGACATGCCCTCCAGGATGTGGAATTGGCTTCTGATTACTTTCCGGATTTTGTTCGTCTTTTTCGATTCGTTTTTGGTTCGTGTAGCGGAGGAAGTCGCATCAATAGCAGAATCATTATTTCGGACGTGCTCTACCGTCGGCTCGTCCACTACGGCCGCGTGCCCCTGAGCGTCGACGTCATTATGAACGAGACAATCCCGTCCCACTGTCTCCCCTCCAAATCCAACAGTCAATTGAGCGTGGAGGATGCCGCAAGTCCTACCGATTGTACGATCGGCGAACATTACCCACCCTTCTTTATGTTTGAAAGAAAACCCCCGTTTCTGAACATACGCGAGAGACACGAAGTCGACATCTGAACCGCTGTCTGCCAATGCTTCGATATCGCCGCCTTCTAGAGAGCAGAGAAGATGTTCGTGCTTCGAGCCGAGCGTTCTCATTCCCGGAATCAGACCCGCTAAACGTGGAAGCCGCACTAGACGTTCGCGATGGAGTGACATTGTCCGCGTCTTATCCAGGAAATCCCGGCATATGATCAGCGGCGATGCGAGTTTTGGGACGACGTAGATCGTACAGGCCAGCTTTCGGAGGACTGAGACCAGCAGTTTCCCGAATCGAACCGTCGCTCGAATGATGCCACAGCACTGTACAGCAGCGCCGTTAGGCAATCGAAGTTCCGTGTCGTTTATACTTTCAATTTCGAGTCCCATCCTAGACGCTAGATCCACGGATATTACGTTCACGTCAGCCCCCGTATCCGGAACGGCCATCACGGTAGCGGCACTCGGTACGTCTTCGAACGTCAACGGCAGCGCCAAAAGGACGTCCTCTTTCGGTACTAGCTGGTATTCCACGCTCTCGGTCGAAGCCTTAGGAGTGCCTGCGTCGTGTGAACTTGCAGGCATTAATCTCGGAATACTCAGAATGATCCATTGAATTAGCGATAGAACTTACGTCGTTGATAAGCCCTGCAGCCTTCTATTACGTTCACAACTCAATTCGTATATTTCGCTGTCGAGTCCTCGAATAACATCCAAGGATCTATCGATAGAAGCTCTGAACTTCGCACCTTCTTGCTGCCATCTCTTGATCCTCTCCAGCTCGGCCGCTCGCCGCCTCATCTTGGTGTCAATCTTCTCGCAAAGCTTGCACTTTTGGGCTACTGAAACTGTCTGCATGATCAACCTCATCCCACACGTTTCTCCAGTCCTGTACTCCTTCGCACAGTGCTGCCGAAAATGTCCCCATTTCCAGTCTCCGCATGCGAAACGGCGCTGGTCGAAGAAGCACATCAACACGTCGAGATATCTGATGAGAAGTTTCGGTTCGAGTGCGACGGCGGAGGCTTCGAGGGTGATGCGGGAGATGCTGTGGGCGAAATGGCGATTAGCAAGGCCGGGCGGGTGGCCCTCATAATCTCTCAGCGTCCCTGCCCTTTGAAGGACTTGCTGCGATGAGCGATAACTGGCTGCTACCTTTTCTTAGCCTGCATGAATATCACGGCAACCCGCATGAAAAATCAGTCACGTGACCTTCTCTTCGCCAATGAAGATCTCAGCCTGAGCGAAAGCGAATTTGATTCGTAGATACCGCATGGGTGTCGTCAGCACCGCCATCCACGCTGTTCCCTCTTTTCAGGCTTTTTTGCCACGCTCCATCCGAACGGTTAGCTGCCAAGCAAACCGGTGAAGGGGCGGTGATATATCGCTGTCCAAGGCGTCTAGCATCGCATTCAGACGTCCCATCATGGATCTCGAAGCCCAATCAAAACGTTCTCGTTATCTCCTCGGGTATCCATCCCTGGCCGCATTCATCGCGAGTGACCGAGATTACACTTCCGCAATTTGCAAGCGCTTCAACCGTTTGGCCGCACGCAACCTGCTTCATTTGCAGAGTGAGCTAGCTGAACTTCAAGCGCAGCAGGATGAGCTAGATAGAGCGGAGCGGTCCGGTGGCCGAGCTGTCAAACAGTTCTCCCGGAACTGGCCTGACTTCTGCGCCGCCGCCCTGTCTGACGATAGGCAAAAGCAAAGAAAGATCCTAGCCGATACCATCCATTCGGTGCTGAAGGAATATAGTACGTAAAGGCCAAAGCTAATGAGTTGCTTAGGGCCCCGCTGACGTTACCAGGAGAGGCCCTAGTCTTCGAAAGCCACCTTGCAACCCTTCCGCGTCCGCCGAAGAGTACTCTCCAAGCCTTCCGATGCCACTTCTTCAACGGCGATCCGAAGTTTGGTTTCCCGACCCTAGGGGCCAATAGCGCAAGTCTGTTTGATGATCCAGATGACCTGGTCGTCCTGGGCGTCCACGAAGATCGAGATCGGCTCACAGCTTTCGTGCAAGACCGTCTTGCCTGGATATTTCAGGTGCGCTGGTGACATCCAAGGCTTGTCTCCAGAAAAGCCTGATTAACAGCACGCTTACGCCTGCTACAGACTAAGGCAAGCGATGGCAATATTGCCTACGTCTCTGACCGTCGCATTGCTGGCTTTGTTGCCATTCTCAGCACCGTCAATGCCGCTGCTCTCCTGATTGGTGGCATTGTCAGCTTGTATTCCGTCTCTTCCTCAAGGAAAAAGCTCGGTATCATAGCTGTCTTTACTACGCTTTTTGCGATCAATGTCGGCGTGTTGACAAACGCTCGGCGCGCGGAGCTGTTTGCAGCAAGTGCTGGGTGAGCCGCCATTGAACTACCCTACGAATAAGATGCTGATTTTCAAGGTACGCGGCCGTGCTTGTGGTGTTTGTTAGCGGCAACTTGGGCGTGACGGGGACTGCGAACGTGGGAGCGTAGCTAAGAAAGGTAGGCCGTGGCACGATTTCGTGGGTGCAATATATCATTTTTCAGGAGTTGGTAATGGCTTCCTTCGTCCCTTTTTGCCATTACTATAATAGGCCGCAGGTGAGGAATTGCCAGCTTTTGTTTTGCTCTCGTCTTCGAGGCCTACGGATATAGGGCCGTGAATACCTTCAGCCATCCTTCCGAAACCCGAACCATCTTACTACTCAAGTGGACGGAGTCTCCCACAGCACGCCATATACTCAGCGAAAGTTATTCAGCGATACGCGGGTAATGTTCGTATTTTCCGGCTACCTCTCGTTCGGGTCAACCTTCCCGCTTCGCCGTTCGCTCTTAAAATGGCTGAGCTAATGTAACGCGCAAGCTAATCTAGCATCCTCGCCCACCTTCTATGATCTTTCATTAGGCCTTACTAGCGTTCCAGATACCTGGTTTTGAGTCGCCTCGGAGCGTTGGGCGTTGTAAGCTTTTCACGAGCTCCGATTTTTCCTTCGGAAATGATGCGGGGTGACATCGGCCTGTGGCAGGGCATTTGCATGTGCATACCCAGGGAGTGAAAGTTCAAGGTGTCACGTGCTCGTCCGTCATGCGCATGCTCCAGCCGGCGTGGACTCAGCCACGCGCTTTCCCATCAACAGCCTCTCCAACGATCTTTTCTTTACACACACTCCTGATGCAACCGCAAGCTTTACTCAGCAAAGCCTATTGCACGACTCTCGAGATAAACCCATAAATTCGAGCGCGCGTACAGAAGCAATACCTCGGCCGTCCGCAACCAACTCACGTACTCTCTCTCTTGAACTCGAAGAATTTCGAACTGAGCTTGCTACTTCTATCCACTGCCCTCATCTTCCACCGCGAGCAGACAATGGTAGCCTCCATCCCCCCATTCTACAGGATCCGGAAGGGTCGCATCGAGATCCTTCCGCTACCCGAATTCTACACCGGAATGCTCTCGCTGAAAGCACCTGCTCCAGCTACCGCGGGCTCCACTTCCAAAGCCGCGCAACTCGTCTCTGGGCAGCCTGCAGAAGTTGCCCGCGACGAAGACATACTGATGATAGACGTCATAGATAGGGACTCTTCGAGCAAGACCATCGCCCAAGATCATGTTGAGAAAGCTGAGGGCCGACAAATTCATATCCTCACACCTCGCGCGAGATCTAGACCATCTCGAAACGGCTCGGCTAAGGGATACGGTCAGCGGGCGGATGAATCTTTGGCCAAGCTACAGCGCATGAGGGCCTGCTCGAAGGGATTCGGCCAGCGCGCGGACGAGTCACTAGCGCACGAGCAACACGTTAGGAGAACCTACGCCTCACGACTGGCTAGGAAATTCGCGCCGAAGAGGTCTCCGGTGCAGCAGAGTCGGGTGCGAGATGAGGACTACATACCTATGAAGAAGCGCGTCTTCCCGCAGGCGGAGTTGCAAGAGCAGCAACCTGCTCCACCAACCGAGCAGCACCAACAACAGACTCAGGATGAAGCTGGAGCAGTAGCTACGGCAGGAGTTGTACCACAGGCCCCCGTCCACCAGCCGGAAACCAAGGTGAACAAATCCATGGAGACGCTGGCTGAATCTGGCGCTGCAACGGATAACAACCTGAAGCTGCAGAACACCGAACATCCAGACGACAAACAAGCTCCTCCAGCTATCGGCAGGGAACTACCGCCTATTGAAAAACCGACGTTGAAGAGGAAGGCGGAGGAGACTAAATCAGATCCCACCGCCAGCGACCAAGCCGCACAGGACACTACGATCGCACCTGAATCTAGACCAAAGAAGAGGGCCAAGACTGCCGCTCTCGTAACCATCGCAGAGGAACAGCCCACTGCTCAGCCCAAGAGCACTGTCAAGTTACCTGCGAGTATTATTGCGACAACCATTCATCCTCTTCAAACTCCTGCAGCGGCGGGTGATCCAAAGCCTAAGAAGAAGATTAAAAACATTGCACCAATATCCGCAAGGGAGAAGCCACCTACCGCTCAGCTCATGAGTTCCGACCCGTCGAGAGACATTCAGCCTCCTCAGACCACCACAAGCGTGCGCGATCCAAAGCCCAGCAAGAAGCCCAAGGTGAAGAATGCCGCACACTTATCCCCGATAGCTCCTCAACACACCTCACCGCTGCAGAACTCTCCAACCCCTCCAACCAGCTCACCCGCTCCTAAAAACCCACCAACACAGACCACTCCAGCCGCCGTACCCGAGCCTAAACCAAGCAAACCCACCGGCAGGAAGCCGAAGCCGCTCTCCTGGGACAACACCATGGCGACCAAGACCCTCGTTAGCAAATACAAAAAGGTAGACGTACTCCGGTTGCTGAAAGATGAGGGCGTGGATACTTCGGCCCTCGAAGGAAGGACGGCGGCTGTTGTTGCGGAAGCGTTTGTGAAACAGCGTGATGCGAGGGCGGCTATGCACAAGGCGAGGGCTGAAGCGCAAGAGTGCGCGTCGAAGAAGCGCGGTCGCGAAGATAATGCGGATGGAGGTGGGGTTAAGAAGATGAAGAGCGGTGGAGTGTAGGGGACTCGCAGAGCCGGGTTATTGTCGCTCTCGAGTTGTAGCTGAGACTCGGCACACGGGTTGATATTTCGTGTTAATGTTAGAATTGGGTACCATAACGATCAGAGAGCATATTGATTACAGATGCGAGGACTCGCCACAAATTGGCAAGCGGGCCCGGTGCGAACAGCATGTGTACATCTCGAGGGAGCATGTTACTATGAGCTAGACCTACACAGAAACATCACTACTAAAAGCTCTACTCAAGCAATCCTAACTTTCTCCTTTCAGCTCCTTGTTGACCCAATTCCAGTCGAGTGTGATATCTTTTGTCAATCCAAAGGAGACAGAGGACCTGCCTTCGCTACATCACGAAGGATCTTACTCGATTGCCAGCGGGTACGAAAGCAAACAGTGTAAGCTGCACGCAGAAAAGATATAAAAGGCCGGACACGAGATCTGTCCACTTCGAGTGCTACTTTCGAAGCTATCATGCTAGCTCTAAGCCAATATCGCGATTCATGGTAGTTATATGTGGCGTTGTTTAACTGTCTTTCCAGCTCTTCATTTAGGTGTTTCCGGACTTTATCGACGCGTTATCTCAAGCAGGGTAAAACTCGCTCTACTATCTACTTTCGGCGTCGAGTCATATTATATTTCACATTTAAAATAAGCCCGGGGTCCCGTGGGCCGGAGACTGTGGCGTAGGCGCTCGGTCACGTGGGCCCGATGTTCCGGCGCATCGGGCGCATCGCAGGTATAAAGGAACGTGTCAGAAACATACTTCCAGCATCGATCCTCGTTTCCGAAGCACCATCGTGCCGGCTCACCTTCGCACGCAGAATCGCAGACACGGTACAAGCGCTAACAGCAGCATTGTTTGTAACATTCGCTAGACACGGCGCCAGATACTTCCCGCTCCAACAGTCAGCTTGGAAGACCGCACAAAGTATGTATTGAACCTTCCCGGGCGTTCGTTGAAGAGTTCAAGTCCTAATTGCTTAATCAGATGCGTCCTTCCGCCTTCGAAATCGGCCAGACCGGCCAGCCGCGCCTCCTTTCCGTCACTTCGACCCCGGCGCTGACACAGTCCATCGATTCCAACAACAACAACAAGCTAGCGTCTCCCGAGACACTTGCCGCTATGGCTGGTGTGCCGAAAAAGAGCGGCGACGTCCATACCAACAAGGCGGACCCGAGTCTTCAGGCGACGGAGGCCGAATCGAGCACCGCGCACTTGGGCAAGGAGGGGCTGAACGGAACCGTGAACGGGATGAGCAACTTGGTCTCGGAAGCAGGCGGTACGTATTTGAAGTAACACTTCCCGCGTTGTCTAACCTCTTTGCAGGTCGCGAGGTCGAATCGAGCCCTCGACAACCATTCGAGTCAAACCGAGTCCACGAATTGCAGAACGTTACGAATGGCCGGAGTATCAATTCAAAGAAGATTGCTCCCACCTCGGACGTTACACCCTTCGCCTCTCAGACAGGTGCCGTCGTCAAGACTCTCCAAAACGTCAACAACGGCGCCGCATCTACCGGCCCCCATCCATCACCGCCCGACAACTCGCAGCCCTTAGCTTCGGCTGCGCCGAACGGCCGTATCCGATTGACTCTAAAGATTCCAGCTACAGCTCTCACACAACAGGCCGGTGGCGCCACGCAGGCCAGCGACAGAGTCCTCACCATGGACTCTAATTATTGCGCGTCAACTCTCATCAACAAGTACGGAGTGAAGCGCATGGGGCCATTCCTCACTGCCAACGGGGTCGATCTCGCACAGTTCGATGGCAAGAAAGCGAAGGGCGCTGCCATGGCAACTGAAGTCCTCCGCGTACAAGCGGAACACCGCAGCCAACAGGCATTGGGGCAAGAGGGGACGAAATCCGGTCCATCCACGAATCTTGTTCAACCCAAATCCCATGATGCCCCCGATCAGCCATCGCAAATTCCAAATGGCTCTCGGAAGCGTGCTCGGGAAGAAACGGACTCTGACTTCAAAGACGCTACGAGCGCGCCAAAGAAGGTTAAGACTGGCAAGGCCAACTCAGCTATGCGTATTGAGCAGTCTAAATCTCAGGGAACAGATAATCCCGTCATGCTGCCATCGCCCGCTCAAACCGTTCCGACTTCCGCAACGCCATCAATATCGCGCCGGGTCATTACCTTGAGGCGCACATCACCACTCCTGTCGCCGTCTCCTAACGACCCACGATGTGTTTCCAAGACGCGAAAGCTTCTCTTGATGATCAGGACGCAAGCTGAACACGATGTAGCGGCTGAGAATGAGGAATCCGATGATGACTCCGACGACGAGTCTGGGGACGACTCGGACGATGACGTCTGCATGAGCGACTCGGATGAAGAAGATGCGGGAGAGGGCAACAAGACAACTCTCTCGCTTCTGACGAACGTACATGGACAGCCGGTTCTCTCTTGTGATGCTCAATTCCTAATCCATCGCATCGTTCAGCTCTCCAATTCGATGCGAGCCTGCGGTTCAGAGCCAGCAGATCGAGACAATCGAGAGAAGCAAGAGGAATTGCGGAAGGAGCATACCCAAGCGCGGCAGGAGCTGAAGTACGAGCTGGAGGAGAAGGTCAACTGGGATGATGAACTTGACGCCGAGCAGCAGGCTAGGAGCTTGGTCTGTCAGGTCTTCCCTTATTAGATGGATGGAGATTGGCGTTATATGCCGGGAGACGGAATGGAATTTCTACGTCGGTTCTGAACTTGAGCATGGGTCGCAACGAGTAGCCACGCGATTCGACGGTATATCAATATAGGTATTCATCAGGAAGGAAATTTTGTATTGGAAACGTCGCTATAGAGCGAGAATGACGGCATTCTTCCCTTGCAACGTGTTGCGGGAAGATTGTTGGTATAGATTGGCGGCGGGCGGGTACGTGCACTGGGAAATGGAAACTTGTCTTGACTAGGGAGGAGTGAACATATAATGCACGTGACACTTGACGAACGGTAAACATTGTCTGGGTGGGAGCTCTTACTGACAGTCGGCATCTGCTATCACCGACACCGGCCAGTTCTTTGACCTTGCAGCAACAGGGACCACTCTATTTTTCGGCAAGAAGCAAAGCAGCATATTAAGACTTAGACAACCCCCAACCACAGTCGATCGTCCGAAGTAAGGCCCACCTATTGGTAGCATGTCGCCAACCTATGGCTCTCTTGGAGGGGATGGTTCGCGCAGCGTGTCGGCCGCAATCCATTCCAGCCCCCAGGGCCTACTCCTCCCCACTAACGAAAATGCTGCAAGTTCCGCCTGCGACTCTTGAGAGGCATTCAAGAATGAGCACATATGATACGACCGAGAAAGACGACAGCATCCGCAAACGCAGCGCTACCGAGGTTCGCCAGGCCATGACCGACATCAAATCCGCAGCTCTCGACAGCTTCTACATCTCCGCGCGATTCAGGCGCCGTAGGGATGTTGAAAATGGCCATGCTTTGCTCGAGCGCTACGAGAAGTACACTCAACACAATCCGCAACTGATCCTCTTCGACGACAATGGAGGCCCTCTCCTTGGACTTCATATCCAACGCCGAGTCTCTCGCATTGTGAAAATGGGGATCGATATCCGAATTTTCACTCAGCTAGAAGCTCGAACGGAAGGGAAGAGCAAGATCTTGGAGGATTCATTGACGGAATTCAAGCGAGACTGTAGAGGTCTGCGTGATGAGATCGCAAAGCACATAATACCAGATGGCGTCAATGTGGAGCTAGAAGCTGCACGCATTGTTTAACAATCTGTTTACTCATGCGGTTGATGGTGCGCAGATCTAGTAGATTGATGATGGGGAATGTGGCATGCTCATAACTATGCCGACGGGGAAATTTGGAGCATAGCTTATCGCGGCGCGGGCGCGGCACATATGATATCATCTGGTGTATTTATTTAGGTCATATTTGAAATTGAACTACGTAGAATTGATACCGTCGAGCTGACGCCCCCAGTAGATCATGTAAAACTCAAGTCGAGGTTGCCGAAAGCCCGTTAAATCTGTCTGCCTTGGTTTCGGTACCGTGATTGCACACCAAGGGGCCTCTGGTGCACTAATATTGCATTTCACACGCGGATGTCCACCCTGAGTCGACATGTTGAGCATCTAACAATTTGTGGAGGCACGCCCTAGCTCGGTAGGTATAACCCTATTCATGCAGCGAAAAGCTGACAAATCCGATGTCTAAAAGCCCAATAGAAAGTAAGGCATCTAAAAGTGAGCGTGGTTTATTAGTGAAGCCCGTCAGAGGAATGGCTGTCTCACTGGGGTCCCGTAGTAGAACCGACGTAATGCAATATCAGTGAAAAGCGCGAAGACGTTGCGTCAACATTGTGCGTGCGCTTCGAGAGGGCTTGGCGAGATAATGAGAACTTGGAGTGAAAGGGTCGCTTTCGGAATGTCAGTCCATAACGCCGTGCTCGGTAGTGGGTCCACTATCCCCAGTGAACTTGGCGGCAAGCACGATGCATTGCAAATTCACGATCGGCAGCTGATAGATGAGTCATTGGCCTATATAGACTCTTCCGGTCCTCACCAGAGCTGCATCACCCTCCATTCAACACCCTCACTTTTCCACTTGCGGAGCAACCACAACCTTCTTGGCTACGTCAGAAGTTTATCGACACCAACTACGCCCGAACAACCCTAGCACAGAGAGCGCTTACTCCGGCAAACGATTCGAAAACTTTCACAATGGCGTCTGGAACCACACTAGGCAGCAATCGGCTATCCGACGAGACTGCCGGGCGTGCCGAAGAAGTCCCTCCAACCAATCCTCCCCGCGGTGCCTGGTCGCCAACACTGAATTATTCTCCCGTCACCGGCTTCCCCGAGAATGATGCGAACACGTCTGGAAACGATAGCCAAGAGCTTACAGACCTAGAGGAGCTTGAGGAGAAGAAGTCCGACCCGAACGACGACGAAAAGCCAACCGATCCACAAGAGTCTGCAAAGAAGCCTGATCTCCGTCTCAGCGTTCCGGAAGACGACGAGGATGATACTGACAGCTCCGACATGGGAGAAGACAAGTTCACTCGGAGGCGCAAGCCTCGCGGTCAAGGTGCTGGTCCGCAGACTCCACCCTTGAACAGTATCTGGCACCCTGCCACCCTCCAAGCTAAGAGCAACCGCGAGAAGCAGGAGAAGTGGCTGCGAATCACCGGCCGCAATCCCAAACTTCCCTACTACAAGGACATGGACATGACCGAGATGCGAAAGGAGATCTCTAAACTGATGAAGCTGGATGCCAATCGGCGGGCACGCGGCCAGGTAGTGCAAGACAACATCCAGGCTAAGGACGAGCTAAAACTGGCGCAGGAGCAAGTGGCGCCTTCTTTTCCACCGCAGAAACGCCCCCATGACGACGGCCACGGCGAAGCAGACAAAGTCTGCGCGAAGAAGACCAGAATCGGAACGCTTGCCGAAGCACAAGCTGCTCCACCAGTAGAGTCTACCGAGATTGTGCTCGAGATCGTGGAGGAGGACTCAACAAACGGTGGTGACGAGGAGCCGAAAGAGGGCACGGTAGCTTACATCCGCCGCCAAATGAACCTGATCCAGCTGGCTGGTCGCGATAGCTGGCAACTTGCAAACCGGAACGCGGATAAGGACGAAGGCGCTCACAGTTTCGTCCCGCACTATCCTGAGTATTCGCATAGCGACCCTCTTCTTATTCTTCTCGGTGATGACGGTAAGCCGCTCATCGACGTGGAGACCCAGGTCGGTGTTCGGAAGATTCTTCGCGGCCGCGGCGGACTCCTCACGATGATTCGCCAGGGACCGAATGCGATGAAGCGCAAGGAGGCCATGAAGCTGTTCAAACAGGACTGTCGCGCTGTGGGCCGACGTGTGGCGAAAGCGATCACTGAAGAAGGCATCGACAATAAGACAGCGGCCTGGGAAATGGTGAATGACATGTTCACCTACGACATTCCGGGTGCGGACATCTAAGCAAGGTGAGATATCCGAGCCGTGCCTAGCGGAGCCGCGCGGCGTAGGTGACTGCACGGTAGGCAGGCAACGAACAAATCAGTCCACTGACCGGCCGCCACAGTATACCGTACAGGGACTCCCTACCAGACGGCTGGACACGCAGGCGGTGTACGATTTAATGCAATGTGTTGACGGCCTTGTTTTCTCCTCTGTGCTTCCTTGCTTTGGACGATGAGCAAGATTGGAACTGAGAATGGTGTTCTCAAGCTCGGCCCTGTTTATAGGGGTGCCTTGGTTCTTAATACTGCTCTAAGCTCTTAGGATAGATTGTTGGAATAATAAATATCTGATTGCTTTATTTCGTAGAGCTAACGTACTATACCCTGCCACGTACTCCTCTGACTCAAATTGACTTTTATAGAAAGTACACACTCTCACTTGGAGGGCAATCGCGCGGCTTTGCGGAGGATTCTTGACCCTAGCGGCATCTTATCTAACAAACTTCGACCACAAGACTCAATTGCGTGTACTAGGCAATACAATCACAATTTGTGCGCGGTCAGCTGTAGCTGGTAGCTTGACAACTTTAAAGCTAAGGAAATGGGCATGCGCTACTTATAAATTGAGCTCGATAGCATGTTTCCGTGCACATCCCCAAGGCAAAAAGCTTGCGTCAAGCATCGACTTTCCAAATTATGAGGCATATCCTAACGAGCATCGAAGAGGCGAGGTGGGCTCTGGAGACACTCAAGTCCATGGTCAAGGTCTCTGCGGATTCGACGCGTTACTCATTCACTGCGCGTTGCGAGGACCCCGACTCGATTAGGAATGTGACAGAGCATCAACTCCGTAACGTCTCCAGAGGGCTCGCCCCGGTATGGCTGGCGACCCAGCATCGGTAACGTCCAACCAATCATATCCTGGCACATACAATCAGTCATCGCCAATATAGGCTCCGCAAGGTACGATGTCGAACGAACGCGCAAGAGGTGGGCCGCAAATCACGAGGAGCAATTAACGAAGAAGCCTAAGGAGGCGAAGGAGTTAGAGCGCCATTATGGTAGGCTGCAGAGAGCTTTGATGCATCGCATACGCATCGACGGGAAAAATTCGGGAAACGTGGCCAAGCGACTGATTGACGAGATCTTCGATAGAGTCAGCTTACGAAGTCTCCGCAAAATGATCTTTCTCGGGTAATATACCGTTGCTACATAGAAATCCAACTATCTCAAAGCATTGGGCTAGGAGCAATTGGGATTACAGGAATGCAAGTTAGGAGCTACGTAAGCGGGTGACTGTTAGAATCATATCCGTGGATGCCCGCATGTGTGGAAAGAGCCACGTGTTCGTAGTATCTGATTATATTGCTCAAACCGTGCAGTTCTGGAGCCATCCGCGAAGCGCATGATGGAGGACGTATTTGAAGCTTGGAAGTCTCTCAGAGACTACAGCTTCAAACGTGCTCTCTTGATAATGGGAGTCCAAGTGTATCCCGCAGTGTTTCCCAGCTCGAACGGGTGCTTCAGCGAGTTCCGTCTTTCATTCACATGGGTATGGAAACATCATAACTGACTTCAAATTACCCTGCGTCCATGAAGATATCTCTAAGTGATTAAGAGTTTACGCTATTACCTTTGTAGTGCAACATTTCGCATTCACATCGGCTTCTCAAAACACTTCACCGCGCTCCGCCAGCCCACATATATTTGCACAAGTGAATAACAAAACATCCCAAGATAGGTACTGCAAACGCGCGTCTGTCGACCCTCTGAAGTCTCGTTGCTCACCCCCACCTAAAATTTCAGCACCACCCGCAAGATTAGCTCGACTCGACCAAAACCTCAACCCCAACAATGGCACGCAAAGGTAAAGTCAAGGCTAAGAGCAAGGCTCCTAGCGCAGCCCGCAACAAGACCAACGCCGCCACTTCCAAGCCCGCGAGGCCTTCCGACCTGATGGCCTATTGGGTGGACGAAAATGGCATCCCGCACAATCGGCATAACAACATGAGCGAAGCGGAAAAGGTCGCAGCCGACGAGGTGGACTACGGCTTCGGAGACGTCTCATACCCGTCAACTCCGGAGCACCACACAACATCGACCCGCATCGACGACTTCCCTTACGACGACCCCGACGCCATCGACGAGATTACAGACACCTTAGAGCGAAAGCTCCGCCTCCTGCGCAACTCCTTGCTCGAACAAGTCAACAACCCCGCGTTTGGGAAGAAGCCCACAAGTGAGGATCCGATCGCCCAAGCCTTCGCTAACCCGGAACAACCTTTCCCAATCTCCTTCATGGCGCAAGATTTGGTCCGATTGATTTTACACCACGCCAGCTTTGCACCGGAAGTGAAGAAGGAGAAGGAGGAGAAGAAGCTTACCAACAAGAACTATCAAAGGATGATCGATCAGAACACGGAGAATTGGGTTTACCTGAGGAGTATACTGGCGGATCTGTTGCCTGGCAACGACGGACAGAGGCGGGACCGGGCCGAAGTGATCATGAAGGATGTGCTCGAAGAGGAGTTAGTGTGGGGCGCAGACTAGGTGAGGATACCATCGGCGAATGAGCGCATGCACGAGCTAACATGTTAGGAAGATGTCTACGGTGCCTGATACGCACCGGAAGGCTTCTCTCCAACGAGTTGATGCCGTTCATCGTTTGGAGCGTGTTGGGTAAACACTGCAAGACTCGTGGAGGACCAAGAAAAGACATCCAATGGCATGACATTTTGCCATTGGTAATTCGAGTGGTTGCTACAGCGCAATGAGAGCCCTGGATCATGAGTTTCGCGTTGACCCATGGCGTGCTTATTCTCGTGCTTGTTGGAAGTTTGCAGTGGTTTGCCGAGCGGTTGGGTCAGCTCATGGACGGATGTTTCTTCACTGAATCAGGACGCGACGGCGTAAAAAATTGGTCGTAGGCACCCATGAAACATAGATACATTACCCTCTTCCATAAGCTCATCGTTCTCGCGCCGACAACCCCCGCAAACGACAATGGCGAACCGAACTCTCATCAAAGCCCCCTGGTCCAAATTCGCGACATCATCGACCGCGAAGAAAAAGAGTTCAAGGTCGGAAGCTCTTCGGGAAGGTACCCTCGGAGGACGTGCAGCACCTTGTGTGGAAGCTTTGGGAGATCATGGACACTTATCGAAACACGAAACCATTCCAATCCAACCCGTTCGACATTCTTCTGAGAGTACTTCAGTCGGAGGGTCAAGCTTAATGAGAAAGCTCTGGAGGTTATGGACGATATGGTGACGGCGTCGAACACGGAGAAGTTGCTGATGGAGGTGTTTCGGACGTGGTTCGTGGTGTTTGAGTAGCTGACCGGCTACGGGACGGAGGAAAATAGCGCAGGGGGAAAATTGGGCGTGGAATTTTGCCGACTGGAGATTCTAGTAGCGATACTGCGGGGCTGTTGGTGCTGTGTAGTCGCGCTCCAACGAGGTATGGTGTTGTCGTGGAAGCGAGGAATGCAAGCGGCAGACCTTTCGCCCCAACACGAAGTTTCACCCACCTTCCCATATCACACACATGTACAACCCATCAAAGCCATAACCAATCATGCCCGTGCCACCTGCAACATGGAAATCCTCTGAGAGCGTCCCGCAAATTTACAGTCCAACCAGCTTAACCCAGGAGCTTCTTCTTCCGGAAAGTGCCTCCACTTCGACCGAGAAAATCCACAACCCAAAGAGCGTATCAACATCCAGGGAGAAATTTCTGCATCCAAACAGCGCTAACTCATCGAGCACGAAGCTGTTGGCTGCAAATAGTGCATCGACTTCCAGGATCTCGCTGGCGCATGCCCATACGCACCCCTACGGTCCTCGAACACCGGTGCAGAAACGACGACTAGCAATTGACGAGCGTGTCCTTGCGCTTTCAGTAACCATAACTCTTGCGATCCTGCTTCTTATTGGGATTCCCCTGGGCGCTATTCTTCCCCCGAAATACGTTGTTGAGCTGCCGGTGAATATCCTGGTGCCGTTCTACGTTTCTCCCGACCTGGGTGCTTGGGATCGATTGTACGATACGTAAGACTTCCCGTCCTAGCCTTCATCCGGTGATGATCTCCGCGCTAACGCCCTCCCCAGAGCTGTCAAGCACGCAGACCTAAACTTCACCGTAATTCTGAATCCCGACAACGGGCCCGGATCGAGCACGTGGCCATCCGGCGTGTACGTCAAGGCCATTCAGAAATTGAATAAAATCCCGAACGTGCGCACGGTCGGCTACATCGACACGAAAAACGGCAACCGAGAGAATACCACCGTGCGCGAAGAAATAGCAACATACGCGGGTTGGAACAACACCGATGGCCTTGCTATCCACGGTATCTTCTTCGATCGTACGCCTAGCCAAGATGTTGATGATGCGCGCGGATACCTGAAAAACATCAGCGCAAAGGTGCGGCATTCGGAGGGCTTCTTGGAGCCAAAACTGGTGATTCATAATCCAGGCGTGGTGCCGAATGCGAGTTTGGCGAGTTATCGCGCGGATATTACGGTGGTGTTTGAAGGAGCGTATGAAGAGCTGCCTAAGAGAGACGATATGAAAGCGAAGCTGAGCGAGTTGCAGGGACGGAGGGACGAGTTTGCGTACTTTGTACATTCCGTGCCCAAGGATATCAGAAGAGGGGGAATTCGGAAAATCGTTGATAGAACGAGAAGAGATGTTGAGTGGTTGTTTGTGACAACTTTGGTAGGAGAGAAGAGATATGAGGGTTACGGAGGCATGTGGGAGGGGTTCTTGGAATTAACGTGGTAGAGGGGCAGAGCTTCATAGACATCCCTTCACGTTCCCATTTCTGTATCTTAGTCGCGAGGTTGCGTTTCGGGTGAAAGCCAGCGAAGCGTTTCAGAGACGTGGCTACTCTAGATTAGTCAGCAATAGCAGGGATGCCGGCAAATGTATAAAGCCACTTACAGTTTCTCTTCGACTCGCCCAGCCGCTGGCATTATGTGCCAAATTCCCAGGTCGAAGGTCTTACTCCCGCTGTACATCTATCCAGACCCTGGCGCATGGGACCCGCTGTTCGCAGCGTAAGACCTCTTCCTCCCATTGCATTGCGAGCTTTCCACTCACACCTCTACAGCACCTCTGCCCATCCAACTCTCGAATTCATACTGATCGTGAACCCTAATAATGGCCCTGGTTCGGAGCCGTGGTGGCCCAATGCAGACTATGTCCGCGAAATCCCAAGACTGAACGCGCAGCCCAATGTACGAATCGTCGGCTATGTCTTCACGGCCTACTGCAAGAGACCGAACGAAGAGGTCTGCGCAGATATTGCGAAGTATGCGGAGTGGTCGAAGGACGGAAAATATCAGGGCCTTGGCGTAGCCGGTATCTTCTTCGACGAAACGCCGAACCTGTTTTCGGACGAGGCGAAGACGTACTTGGACGTGATTACGCAGAGGGTGAAGGACTCGGAAGGCATTTTGGGCGATCGAATAGTAAGTCGAACAGTGTTGACATAGCGATTGGAAAGCAGGGGCTGAGGGTCCCCGCAGGTGATTCACAATCCAGGTACAGCCGTGGATTGGCGACTGGCGAGTCGAAGGCTGGACATCGCGACGGTAGCCGAAGTAGCGCATGCCGAGTTTCAGACGATGGAGTACCAGAACTGGCTGGCAACTTCGTCTTTCGGGAGAGCAAAAACGAGTTACATGGTGCATGGTGTCCCGGAGGAAAAGATAGAGGATTTCGTTAGGGTGGTGCGGAAGATGGCGGAATACATCTTTGCGACGAGTCTAAGGGTGAACTATTATCAGAGCTTCGGGCCTAGTTGGAACAGGTTCCTCTTTGCGATGGCGAAGGAGTGAGGATTGCGCACATGCGCGCATGGGACATGCATACCATCACGCAAGAAAGAATGCATGGATAGTCTAATTCGATAACTAAGCCTATTCAGTCCGAATAAGCGTATGTAAACCTTTCGTGTAGCCTTACCATACCCGTTCTCATAACGGTATGGATTGAGAGGGTTGAAACTGCGGGTGGGGTGTGGGAAGACAGCAGTGTGACCTAACGGGCTAATCGGCACGCATTCAGCCATCCCTTTGACGTAGTCAGAACATCCTCTACGATGTTCCAGATTCGACATCGATTCCAGAGTCCCTTTGGAAGTTCGGCAAGGCGGGAATCTTGTCCACAAATGGGGAAATCCTTCTGTTTTAGAAGGCGGACCACGCTTTTCCAGCGCCCTTGATCGGGGGAGATCGCTTCCGCCCCTTGCGCTAATTGCTTGAGCTTGTCCTCGTCGAGATCCCATATGTGATGTACTATGCTGCTATCGAGAAGAGCTTTGCGCCAGAAGCGATCGTTAAGTAGCACCTTGACGGAAAGTGCTCTCGATGTTCGATGCAAAGATACAATTGAAGCGGATGGTAGGAACTCCATGATCCTATCTAGAAGTTCGTTGGGGAGATTCTCTAGTCCGTCGGGCTCCCGTACGAGTTGGACGGAAGGCGGCTGTTGTGCTATTGAAGCTGGCGTTGCCTGGAGTATGTCGAGAACGAAAGAAGGCAACTCCAGTATGTTCATCGGGTCTGTCAAGTATTTCTGGTGAATTTGCTTTAGCTCGTTTCGGCGGAGGTGCTCAAAAGCGTCAATACCTCGTAAGCACCACTCCACCACCCCAATTCATCAAGTCCCTGAACACTTCGGGGTCCATACCCATCGAGGGTCCCTCGCAGGCCGAAGATGTAGTTGCGTTGGCCACCCCTGTGATAGAGGTACCAGGTCTGGAGTCGGAAATACAGGCGGGCCAGGATGGAGTCCTCGTCCGGCTTGCAAACTTCTGATACATCATGACGCGATTGGAGTACTCGGCATGCAATCTGAATGCATGCGTAGTGTAATGGAAATATTATATCCCTCCAGTGGTCCTCCGTTGCCGCAAGGTAATAGGAGTTACCCAGCCGAAAGCAGTCGCCGTCGTTCATAGCCCATCGAGTCTGCTCGGAGAGGAATATGTCGTCGCTGCCCGAAGTATTGGTATGCTCTTCGTTCGCGGTCGTCATTCTAAGATTGCCAAGGGTCGAGTGCTGGCTTAGGAGCCGGACATCATAGAGCCACTGTGTTTGTCAGAAAGAACATTTCGAACTTTGTTGTCGCAGAGCGCGCTCATTACCTGGAAGGCTTCTCTATCCGTGTCTATATTGTAGACATGATGCTCCAGGTCGAAAGGCCCTCCGCATAGCGCGCAGAAGATGTCGGTATCCATTGGACTTGCTGCTCGGCTCGTTCGACGACGTTGCAGCGTTTGTCTTATGTGCTTGCCAAGCTATGCCAAGCTCCGCACACCCATGGTGACATCGGAGGCCGCATATATTTACTGGTGCGACGCTAGTCTAGGGCGGGAGAGTGTCAAGAGGAGAGATGACGCTGGTTTGACGAGATCGAAGACATCATCGCCCTTCTGGTGGAAGCGGCCCTTATTAGTCGGCGAGCCGAGCCGAGGCTATTGCCACATCGGGACTAGCGGCCAGCCCTGGGCCGATCGAGCGATTTTTTCGATAACTACTCACGAAAAGGTGAGTACAAGCCAAAAGCAGTGGCTGGTGCAAATGCGAGCTTTTTGATTGGTTGAAAGAATTTTCCGTCCGAAATTTCGATGTTCTGGCGGAACTTCGGTCACGAAATTCATGATACTTGATGCTACCTAAGCCAATACAGGCATATGTGCTTTTTAGAAGTGCATGCACACATCTACTTTGAGCACAAGCCCAGCTCTTCCAGGAACATATCGGATGCTTTCTCTGCAATAGCTACCGCCGTATTCATGGTGTTCGCGGCGACGTTGCGAGGCGGGATGCTCAAGTCAGCAACCTTTAGACGTTTCACTCCATAAACGTTGAGACACTGGTCCACCACGCCATTTTCGTGGCGAGGCGCCATTTTGCACGTTCCCATCGAATGCCACGTCGTCTCCACGTGAGAACGCAACCAGTCTTCAATCACCTTGTCGTCCTCTGCCGTATAAATAATGTCCTGGACGTCTCCGGTGTGGCCATCGTCCAACTGCACATGTGCGGCATTGGAATTGGGCGCGAAAGTCGGGTGACCGCCCGGCAGCTCACCGCGGTATGTCTTCATCCGGCGGAAGATCTCCCGCTGTTTCTTGTACGCCCATATGTGCTTCTTGATATCCATACCTTGGGCATCGGAGAAGAAACCTGTAGTGAAATCAAGCCTGTCATCAAGCTCTGGCCCAGTGATGTGTATCGATCCACGAGAGTAAGGGTATCCAGTGAAAACCGACATGGCAAAGTACTGGCCGGCAGGGACGGTGGATGGATCTCCCGGGAACCTGGATGCGGTTAATTTTGCTTGAAGCGCAGGCGTCGATAGCATGTACTCACGCATTGACGAGAGACCCCAGTGCAAGTGGCTTGTTTGGCTCGTTCTTGAACTCCTTGTCCCAGGCCTCCTGGAACTTTGATCCCATGGCAGAAACATCCGAATCCGTGGGTCGTAGCTTGCACGTAATGTCCATAGCGTTCCAGCCAAGGATGGAGGCGTTCTGCTTGATCAACTCAACAGGATCCATACGTCCGCCAACAAGAGCGTCGATAGTCTCGTTTTCATTCAAGCTGGACAGGTATGGATAGATCATTAAATGATGATCCTGGTAATTGGCACCGACGCCAGGAACATCGGCGATTACTCCGACCCCGGCCTTTTTCAGAATCTCAGGGTTGCCCACACCAGATCTTTCTAGAACGGATGGCGTCCCGAGGGCCCCACAAGACACGATCACCATCTTCCTTGCTTGAACGGTACGGGAGGCGGTGTCTAGGTGAACCTTCGGATTAGGCCTAAACTCGACCCCGGAAGCTTTCTGGTTTTCAAACAGAACCCGCTTCACCTGGGAATCTACAACGACATGTAGATTGGGGTATTTGCCGCTTTGAAGTCTCGGGTGGAGATATCGATAGGCAGTGTCTTGCCGCTTGCCATCCGGTGCGATATAGCGTAATGCGCGTTGGACGCCATTATTGAAGTCAAGGGCTGCCAAGTCTTCAATTTCGGGATACCCAACTTGGCCTGCGGCTTGGATAAAATCCTGTTCAGACCTGTTGACACGGTAGGTCCCGCCGGAGACATTGATGGGACCGTCAAAGCCGTGGACAGCCTGTGGGCCTGGGCCATGATACGTCTCGAGCTGATAGCCACCAGATTAGCTTCTGCGAATAACGTAGTGTAAAACTTTACACACACCTTCTTCAAGTAAGGTAGCATTTCTTCAGTTGACCAACCAGACGTGTTCCACGAGTTGAAGTCGACGCGTTGAGCCCTCGAGTACATCATAAGGTTTATCGATGACCCTCCACCGAGCGTGCCTCCCGATGGAACAATCAGCTGTCTGTTGCTGAGCTGGCTCTCCTCGTTTCCCTGGTAGAACAAGGTCGCGTTGCTCGTGGGCATGAGCCCGCTCAAGAACAGAGCTGGGTGCACAATAGTTGGGACGTCAAAACTGTTCGGTCCCTGTTCAATTACCAAAATGGACATTTCAGGGTCGGCGTCGGCTAGCCTCGCGGCAATAACGCATGCAGCGGTTCCACCTGAGGGCAAGTAGTCAGATAATTTGCTCGGTTAGGGCTTCTGTGAAGTTGATTCTTACCTCCAGCAATGATTATATCGACCTCCTGGACTGTATCTGGGAGCGTCTGGTACAGCGCCATAGCGGTGTCCAAAATCCAGGTGGCGAGGAAGAACCAGAAAGAAAGTTTGACTAGTTGGGAGTTGTAGCTGACCGTGTAGCGTGGCTGACGATAAAGTCGCAACATTGATAAAGACCTCAGGAGCTGAATCCCAGGGTTGCGGGTTTCAAGTTCTGTTAGATTGAGATGTCGCACACAAGCTGGAGCGGGTAAGTTGCTAAGGAGCGGGGCTCGGGTCGCCACGGTCCGGGACCATAGGATGCAGTTGCCAAGTGACGTGACAACCATTTTGGGGAGTCCGATGCATTACGCACGTAGGCGTACCTCTTTGTTGGTAACCTATTATTTTCCACACTGTAAGGCCCGGCCGGCCGGATCTATTTAGCCTGTTCCTAACTGCACTTGTTGGCTTCACGCCACCCTCTTAGGGGTCATTGCCCGGCGGAGAAGAAAGTGGCAGGTGGGTAACGATACCATGTCATTAAAAAGGTAAATCATGAGAAGTCCGCACTGGACAGTATGACATGCCCACCTTGTCAACCAACATCAACCGTAAGAAGTTTTGAAGGGCTTTAACTTGAATGTCCTACTGTCTCAGCGCCAAGTTCAAGATTCGTACTCATCCACCCGGTTTGACGATGTCCTCAGGAGCGGTTCCTCGCCGTTCCACCAAGATTTCATCCTATCAGTTCCACAATACCACCAGTACTGGAGACCCGATAACAGTGCTACAGCCATGTGATGCTGATAGAATTTGCCCCACCAAATACTCTGCGCCCAATGCAAATTTGAGAACCTTATGACCTTCTCCTCCCATTCCTGCAATGTGATCCTGCGACCTACATATTCCTCAACCCTTAAGGCATGAAAGGCTGCTTGCGTGCCACTGAACGCAGTGTGTGGGCGGAAGAGAGAGAGGGCGTCACCCACAAGCAGTACCCTGCCATCCTCGAATGCTGCTTTGGGTGCGCAGAATTCCGTAATAACTTGGATGAACGGACCACGGATCTTGATCATGACCTCTAGGAAAGGTAAAGGAAGCGGGACATCCTTCGCACGCTGAACTTGCGCGTTCCAAATCCCCTCGCGTACACGCCCTGCCGGTACGAGATTGTGGTGCCTGTGGCCATCGACCCCATCTATCAGAATATCGTGTAGTGATTCCTCCGACTCGTTCGTGTACCAAAGAAAATTCAACAATCGTTCTCCTGGTTCCAATGACCCATTGATTCCCGGAATTGTATACATGATGCAGTGGTGCCTGTGCATCATGTGCACCGTCACGCTGCGGCTGAAAATGCTGCGTGTTGACTCAGACACTTCACTCTCTGGGACTGTTCCTCGCCAGGCTATATATCCAACGTATTGGCGCTTGACAGCGGGTAGGTATTTCGACCGTACGAACGAATCCGGGCCATCGGCGCCGATCACTAGGTCAGCTTTCGTTTGCTTTACTTCTTGACTGTTGTGATCCAATATCGAAAGGACCATTCCTCCATCACTACGGCTTGCAGGAAACATATCGGTAACTTGCTGGCGACAAACATATATGGCGCTACCGTCTGAATCCACCGAATGTGGCGGCGATGGATAGAATGAGCTGACATACTGATCGAAGCAGGCTCGGAGGCGGAAGTAGTAGGTGTCCCAACTCGTAATATCCCGGCGACCGTTTACGAAGATTTTGATGGTTTCGTCTGAGTTTAGAGCCTGAACACGGCGGCTTCTGTGGCTGAACGCATTTTTCAATCGATCGTGGGAGGTCAAGTATGCTTCAGCGTCTGGGCCGAGACAAACGCCCGCCATATGACTTTGGCGCTCATTGTCGTCCTTTTCGATAATCGTCACTTTATGACCGGCGTGCACTAAGGCGATTCCACACATCAAACCGGCTAAGGAGCCTCCGATCTAGATGGGGTATTGTTAGTAACATTTCCTGCGGACACCAAGTTCTCTTCGGAACACATACTACCACGATATTCAAGGGTCCTACCAACAATCTCTTCGGGGAATCCATGGTGAGTTTTGGGAATGGCGAGGGAAACCCAAACTGCAATTTTAAGGCGTATCGAGATTCATACGAGAATTCCAAGCTTCGAGTGGAATCGAGATATCCACGGGACTCAGGCCAGACTTTGTGGCGGTAACCAAGCAGGCCTGGTTCCGGAATGTTGAGGGTAGGCTTATGCAAAAATTCAGGATTGGACCATTGAAGAAGCACCTCATTGTCAGGCTATGGATGTCTCAGTATCCCCTCAATATCCCACCGGCCTTGACGGTCAGGCAGGATGTTTACCCGGCTTGAAAGGATCCTCCCTAGAACGCGAAATATTGCAACCGCATATCCTAAAGTTGTGGAATGGGAAGCTTATCATCAAGCGATCTCACTCTTCCTGCAAATCTCAATGAATGGATTGCTTGGTATCACGTTCAGACGGGGATGGCAATCCTTCAGTAGAATGTCTGGCTTCCATTCACCCCGCCCTTAGGTGAGGTTACACAGCAGGGCAACACTCACAAGGGACCAACTCCTTGAAAAATTGTACAATTTGGCTGGAAACGGTCGACTCGCAGAAAGCAATTAATATACGCAGCAGCATGTGGATTAAATGCCAAAATGTGAGCGAACTATACCTTGGCAAACGATAAGAGCAGCAGGAGGAGAATCCGCCTACTGCACGCTCACGGCACAGCGTCTTACGGTAGCAATTCTATGTTACATTTGCTTTTCTTCCATCGACCCGTAAACGTTCCAGTCTGTTGGTCGCAGGACATCTTACGGCCCAGCGTTCATCCACACACAGCGCAGCTCCCGATCAATATGACCTTCCCAATATTCACAAACCTCCGCAATCGCCGAGGCGGGCGAGTTCAGGCACCGAGCCAACTGCGGTTCTCAAAGCCTTCCATTCATTTCTACTTGTTTAATACCAGAGCTTAAGAAAGCAAATACGGCCATGAAAGCTTAACTTTGGTTGCTTTGTCTGCCCTAAGTTTCAAATAATAACTTGCGGACAATTTTCCCACCATAGTCTCGCAAACGGTCAACTCGCAAGCCATTACCATGGGTCCCAGATTCCTTATCCAAGAGGCGCCAGATGTAGCAGCAAAAGAGGTGGTGGAAGATGCGCTACAAAGCATGCATGGTGGTAATCCACCTTTCAAATGGGTGGAGGAAGATGGCCGCTCACTGATAGGATGCTACGCTACCTTATCGTAAGTAACAAAAGGTCCTCTCCCAAACGACACGAACTCTGTTTTGGGCATACGATTGACTATTGAATTCCAAAAATGCAGCTACACGACCGCACCCTGGACGCGACAGTTTTTCGAGCTTGCCAAACTTTGTTACAGCCCCGTAGGCGCGAAACCGCGGAATCGAGAGCTTGCTATTCTCGGATTGAGCTCAGTTCTCGACGTTCCCTACGTGGTATATTGTCACCGTGGTGTGGCGGCGAAGGTCGGTCTCACTGCCGAGCAGTACACGGATGGGTTGGCTGGTCAGGTTCCGAAGGATTTGACTGAGGAAGAGAGCATGGCCTATCGCTTGGGGTGCATTCTTACCACTCTGAATGGTCCTTTGGACGATGCGACGTGGCAGGAAGTGACTTCCGTCATGGAAAAGAGTGAATTCGTTGCGATCTTGCATACTGTCGCAGGTTATCGATGGGTTTCGCTCCTGGAACAAGTGAATGGTGAAGATCACAGATGGGCTAAATCAGACTAAAAAAGCCCAGCGGAGATTTGCAATGTGTAGTACCATTGGGGCTGGTGGGATATATAGTGGAATTGATCGCTCATCTATCTGCGCTACGTACTTTATATTTGAATCCATCGAATTCCTCTAAGGCCGGCGTGCTTGGTGATTGACGCTAATGTGCTGGCTTACTTGAATTTGTCGATTGGGCTTTTTTTCGCGATTGCCAAAACGTTCAAGTCCTGCACCCCCTCTGGACGCCACGTACTGCTCTTGTCGTGGGGCGATATGTGAGAGCTCGCAACCTTCCACGTAAACACGAGCCGGTGGATTGGCAGTGTTGGGGACCAATTGGTTCCTGCTCTCTGTAGAGCGAAGACTCCGCCTCGAATCGATGAAACTATGGTTGCTCCCGTTCGAAGACAGACGAAGGTGCTCTTTACTATTATCGTTCGCTGTTTCATGCCCCGCTTCGCACGCACTGCCACGACTCTTAAATGAAGAGTCTCTGCTAGGACGTGAGCTGATCAGCGAGGAGAATTTTCCAGAAAGTGGTAAGAGAAAGGTCGAATAGAACCGGCGGACGAGGTTTGCCATGGGCGGAAGACATATACTGATAATCGTGGTGGGGGCTTCACATGTTACCCAGTATACCATAGGCATACCTTCGTCTAGAGTATAAGTAAGCAAATTGATGTATATCTAAGATTGATTTCACGACGTATACTCACACGTGATGTCTTCGTTTAGGGCCTTCGCCGACTTGAGAACCGTGATCATACGACCGAGCGACACGATAATAACACTAAAAACAGGGTTAATAATAGTATGCAAGCTTCGATCTGCAAGTAGAACTCACCAATACCCCAGTGCAAACACAAGCATGATACCAGCCTTCCGAGATCGGCCCATTTGAAGAGACCAGATCTTCGGCATCGGCAAGATCAGAATGACCAAATCGATGAAAACGCTGGGAATAGCACTTCCTGTCCATAGTGCACTGGTTGTTCCACAGTGCCCCGGTCGCATTGGGTCCCATCCTTTCTGAACAGGACTGCACATTAAGGCGGTGCCGAGAATGATTCCTATAAGCCAAGCGACATTCAATCCATGGGTTGCCCACAAGGTGTAATTCCACCATCTGGAGTTTTGCTGCTCCGGGAACAGACGAGTGAGGAAGAGCAAAGCGGATTGTTTAGTAAGAAAGAGCGAAATGTCGTAGAGGTAGTAAATGGAATAAAGAAGCTTGAAAATCTTCGGCAAATTCTCAGGCGGCACCATCCAGATGTGGCGTCCGAATCCTAGTTGTACTTGAGCGAATGCAAGCCCGAAAAAACCTATTATGAAAACCTATTAAGGGTGTCAGATTTATGGCCCGACAGTTGCAGCAAGACCGTGAAACGCACCACAGCTAACAGAGCGACCCAATCATCCCACCAAAAACGGTGCACACTGGCGCCAGGCCTGGCACGCGGGCCCATTGCGCGGGACCAAAACCGGAGCGATATCGCTGCTGTTGTCAAAACAACCATAAGGATGAGGAAGGCTTTGTAAGCAGGCGCACGATTTTCTTCCGAGCCCGGAGGCAGCGCTGGTTGCGACGTTGGCATAATGAGAGGCTGGGTTGCCCGAGAGATCAGGAGACGATAGAGCTTCAAAAATGGGGACTTAGTTCAAATAGAACTGAAAGAAAATATGTGCTGACGAACAGAACGAGCACGGGCGGGAAAGCGAGATATAGGTGGGTAGTATGTAGCCCAACGCACATCTACGGACATCGAAGCAACCGAAGTAGGAGTGCCCGTCGATTCGTCTTCGTCTGACCTGCCTGCTTTCTGTACTTCCCGAGCACAGCAAGGTTTGTAGTGGTAGGCGCTGGAAGGATGGTGGGGCTCCATGGCCCAGAGTAAATCAGTCAATCAACCCTGTTGATCGTACTATCGGAACCTATACCTTGCCAGAGGATGAAACCCTGCCCTGCTTCCAAGAGTGATTGCAAGACTGAACATTACCATGATCTGAGCGGCGTTCGCGCGATGAATTAGCCGGGGTGAGGCGGATAATTTGGCATTCAAGGGTGCCTGCATCGACACAGGCCGGGAATGATTTCCGGGTGACGCGGGCGCTAAGGTCACGTCAAGGCCCGCTTCCTCCCGCGGCTACTGCAGGCTCTATTTGGACTTCGTGCAGTATTGAGGCACAGTCGGAATTGATATCGCGCCTCACTCAAATAGATTGCAGAGACAAAGGTGGGCTCGAAACTGTGTTACGCACACCAACAATTGATTGAGGTCTCGGTGATTAAGTTCAAGTAATGTTGCTCCTGCTAATCACGAGATTTTGATTGGTCTTCGCAGAGGCTCAACCATATCCTTCTAACAGTCCTAGTAGGGTGGCCTCTTTTTTCCACAAACATTCCTTTTGGGCCGTGTGTCATGGCCTCACCATCACTTTCTCCGTCACGTTTGTCGCCGTTGAATGCACCATCAGTCGAGAAATCGTCACTAGTCGACCCCAGACACGCAAATAACGAGAAGAACGACGTGCTATCTGAGGCACAGAATCAGAGCGACAGTGACAATGAACCCCACAGCGAGCGCAAATTGAAAGGGACATTTTGGTTCCTTGTCATCGTGGCAGTCTTGTCGCCAACCTTCCTCTACGCACTGGACAATACAGTCATGGCGAATGTACGACCAAGTGTTATCGACACTCTTGGTCACATTGACATGCTTACGTGGCTGTCGGTTTCGTACCCAATGGGGGAGGTAGGAGCCAATCCCTTGTGGTTTGTGATTCTCCGGTCGCGCGCCTATCTCCCGTTCTGACCTGGATTTAGGGGGAAATTCAACCAGCAGTTCAACAATAAGATCCTATACCTCGCAGCTGTCCTCATATTCGAAGTTGGATCGGCGGTCATCGGTTCAGCACAGTCTATCCAGGCCGTCATCGTGGGTCGGGCAGTCGCTGGCTTTGGCGGCTCTGGCATCTACGTCGGAACAATCAACATCATATCTGGTATTACTATCCCGGCCGAACGCACGAAATATCTGAATTTTGTTGGTATGTCATGGAGTCTAGGAACCGTCTTGGGCCCGATCGTGGGCGGCGCTTTTGCCGATTCTGCAGCGACTTGGAGATGGGCCTTCTATATCAACATTTGCATCGCTGCCTTTTCCGTCCCAGTATGCATCTGGTTGGTCCCTTCAATTGCTCATGCGGTTCCATTCACGCTGGTCGAACGCATCAAACGCATTGATTATTTAGGTGCTGTCCTGTTCCTGGGGGGCGTCGTCTCCATTGTTATGGTCCTTGGATTTGGCGGCGGAACTGATTACGACTGGAAAAGCGGGCAGATGATTGGCCTCTACGTGTCCACAGTAGTGCTCTGGATGGCATTCAGTCTACAGCAAGGCCTTCGATTATTGACCGTTGACCGAATCTTTCCAGCCCAGTTCGCTTGCAATTGGGAGATGGTCAACCTATTTTCCTGGACCGCCATTGCCATTGCCAACATTGTTGTCACAATCTACTCTCTGCCGCTATTTTTCCAGTTCACCTATGGCGACTCGTCTCTTCGCTCAGCAGTCTATACTCTACCCTTTGTTCTCAGCGTAGTCGCTAGCGCTGGCGTCAGTGGGCCTATATTCTCGAAATACCCAATATATATGGCCTGGTTCGCCGGGGCAAGCGCTGTCATGCTGATCGGTAACGGTCTACTTTCGACTCTCGACTATAATACCTCGCGCGGCGCTATCTGCGGCTATACCATTCTTCAAGGCGTCGGCGTAGGGCCAGTAATTCAACTAGGATATACCGTTGGTCAAACAAAGGTACCACACTCTATCGTACCCCAGGTCACGGCATTCTTGACGTGTGCTCAAATGGCCGGCCTTGCTCTATCCCTCGGCATCGCGACATCCGTGTTCTTGAACAGTGCTACAGACGACATCGCCGCCATCTTGCCTGGCACAACGCGTGGTTTCATCAAGGCCAGCATAAACGGAGCTAGGACGGGACTTTTGGAGACAATCTCCCCGGAAGATCGTTTTCGTGTCTTGCAAGCTATTGCCCGAAATATTGGCAGGGTATTCTACATGAATATCGCAGGCGCAGCACTTGGTTTTCTATCATCTCTCACAATGAAACGCGAAAGATTAACATTGTAATCCCCTTGTGTTGCAGAAAGCTAGCTCCAAAGAGTTGGCGGCGTTAGCAGAAGGAAAAGTTTATTGCGGACAAGGCCATCGGGATGGGGAACCTCGGGATCGTCGACTGACTGAATGCGACTCTAAGAGGCTGGGGCTCTCTATCCCAAATGCACTTTGTTCTTCTTCGGATGTTTTGAGGTGAAATCGGCATTCTATTACTTGGAATATTCTAATGTCAAATCCTTCTGTTTTGAGAGCATGCCCAGGTGCAAATAAAGCAGGTTGCTACCTAGGTATCGCGTGGTTAAAACGAGCTCGCGTTTTTGAAGTTTTATGCGTCCGCAGCGATAAGTCACTACTCGGGAACGTTGGTCTGAGTCCGTTCTGAATTACTAACAGGGAGGAGATGCCTGGGATATCATGGCGTATGGCATTTTAGAATTTGATGCTGTACTAGGCCTGCTATACCGAACCTATCCGGAGCAAAAGGATCCAATCCTTCTGCTCTTTCAGTTATGACGCCTTATATATCCGGTAACAGAACCTCATGTCTCCTATACTCGGCTAATCTCTTTTCTCTCTCAACAGCACCATTTTGTACTGAATATTGCATCGGACATCACCAGTGAGTGATCTAAATAAAAGACCTCACCGGAGCATGGCTCAAAAGCGGAACTACCCCGTCGATATGCATGCAGCACGAATAGTTCTTTATTTAAACCCTTGTTGTTATTCCGGCGGGCGGCTGGCCGGCGTCATTGCCTATTCTAGACTTCCAGCTGGGAGGGGGAGCGTCCACGATATTGGCCAGGATTCGATGGGGTAAGGTGAAGGGCCGCAGTGAAACCTCCGGAAAGCATTGCCAAGAGCTTTTGATTGAAGAATGGACCGGAGTAAACCACATATATGCCTTATTATCACCAATCAACGGTTAACGCAGCTTCTTAGGTTTTGGTAAGTATGGTACTTCTCACCCTAAGTGCCTGCGGATTGATCATACCTAGGTACTAAGGAATACTTGGCAGAACTATGACACTCTGGAGTCTCATCTACATTAACTTCCACCGTTAGGCAACGGCCATTCATAGATGGTAACTTTATTCGATTTGCAAAAGAAAAAGGGCCTCTGGGTGTTAATTAGCCTTCGAAGCAACGGCTGCCAGTCTTCTTCCTCTGCATAAGATGGTTCCGGATGTTTTGCGTAGAGTTCTATCACCACGCCGTTCTTGATGTCTGCTGTTACGAGCTGTCCTCTTGACTAAGACCGAGGTTTACTTTCGTAAGGGGAGGCAAGGGGTGTGCTTTAGGCTGGGATCTTCAGTAACAAAGGGGTAGACGCAATAATACTGTAAATCGCAAGTCGCTGTAGCAATTTAATAAACAAAGCAATAACTACAAGAAGCTGTAAGAAGCGAGCTCCTCCTAGTTATATACATGTGCCTTCCTTGGCTAGATTAGGCGCTAAGGCCTAGCTCCTATAGATTAGTCCTAATCTACCTAGCTCCGTCTAATCTATCTAATCTACGTTACGTGGTTCTAATTATTCCTGTAACCCTGCACGTAACCTTTTGTCTTGTAACTCTAGGCTTAGCCTGCCGTTTCCTCTATTCTAGCTAGTTCTAACCCTGTTTCTAATCCTATAATTGTAACACTCGCCCCTTCTCCCTAAGCGTTGTCTCGAAGCTCTGTCCTATCCTAGGTGTAGTGTTTTATTATTCTGTACTGTTCTTATATAAGAGTAGTGCTACCTACAGTCCTATAGTATTGTATTCTCTCTTTTCTTTCTATTCTCGCCATGCTACCTGCGCGTACTAAGTCTTCGACAGTTCGCTGTCGCCGCTGTGCCAACCTTATTCTACGCACTAGCGCTAATATGTCTAACAACTCTTACAGCGCTTGCCGTTTCTACAACCTACGTTGCGTTGTAGAGGTGTCTTCTAGTCGCTATTTAGAGTGTATTGTAAAGAGTTAGTCTTGTAACAAGGTGCTAGATCTAAAGAAGGTAGAGAAGCTAGATTAGCTATTAGCTAATTTGCGTTCTTAGTAGTCTAAGGCTAGTCTTAAGGCAGAGCGTCTTGCTAAATCGCGGTAGTCTACTAAGGCGCGTAGTAATCGTCTCTAGAAGTAGTTAGATTTAGTATAGCGTTGCTAGAACGCGTTGCTTTCTAGAGATCTAGCTAATATTAAGAAGCTAGAGTAGCTAGAGTAGAAGGCATAGCAACTCTTATAGCCGCAACTCTCTATTCCCTTAGTTAATCCCTTCTAGTCGTTTAACTAGAGTTGTTTAGAGAATCTAGGGTTCTAGTCTTCTAGCTTTAGAAGTAGTACTACTAACAAAACTTCTTAAGTTTCTTAGAGTAGTTCTTAAGGTTTTCTAGTAGTTTCTAGGTGTCTTTCTTTAGTAGGTATTCTTTCTACCTAACCTAGTACTTCTACTAACCTTGTATACGTTTTTTATCTAGTATCTTTTTAACCTTAAAGTTCTAGTTTAGTTCTACCTCTATTTACTTATTAAGTAGCGTATTATTAGGTGCTAGCTTAAGTTTAGATTTATAGAATATAGAGTGTATTCGCATTATTAGTAGTAGCTTTAACCTAAAGTTAACAGGTCTAAGTTACCTATTAATTTTAAATAGTCTAATTTGCAAGTAGTTAAGTTTCTTGCTAGGTCGTTTAGTGCGTAGATTTTTTCGTAGAATAAAAACTTTACCCCTCTTCTTAAAGGTTAGTTTCTTAATTCTTTTCTTATTTACTTATTAAGTTATCTTTTCTACTACTTTTTATAGTCTATTATAGATTATTCTTATTTAGCGTTTCTTTTCTTCTACTTTTAGAAAAATAGTAGCTATATACATTAAGAATCTATATATTCTAGTCTTATAGCTATAACATGCTTAGTAGAGAGTTATCTCTATAGTTTCTTGTTTTACTATATTGTATACTAGTTGTGCTATAGATAGTAACTTAACCTAGTTATTCTATTCTTAGTTAACGTAATTTCTTAGGTACTCTTCTAGAGTCTAGTTTATTTATTCTATTTAGCTATTAGTTTGTAGGTAGAAGCTAGTTAATATTTAATTACTTATTTCTATTTAGCTAAGTAGTGCGTTCTAAAACTTAGACGTAAATAGTTTGTCTCTATCTATAGTAACCTATTCTAGTATTCTATACTAGCTAAATAGCTATTAGCTTACCTTATAAGCTAGTTCTTTAGCTTTAAGAGTTTTGCTAGTTAGGTAGAAGTATACGTATTTAGTAAATTAGTCTATAATTACTAAGATAGTATTATACTTTCTTTATAACGTAGGTTTAATTAATCTAGGTAGCTTTGTAATAAAGTCTATAGTAACGTGTTACTATAGTGCCTTAGGTAGTTCTAAAGGTTATAGTAATCTATAGAGCTAGTACCTAACTACCTTGTTTTATTAGTAGTTTCTATATTTCTATACTATTCTTATAACTTTTTTCTTTATTATAGAAAACTTATATTTCTAACGCAGCCTCTTAAGAGTATGTTTAATTCTCTAGTACTTATATATTATAGTGCTATAAAATTCTCTAAGAAATTCTATTTATAGCGTTTCTAGTACTTCTTATTATTCTTGTTTATTAGGTAGCTCTAGCCTATTATTCTACTAGTCTCTAATCTCTATAATCTAGCTAACCTATAGTCTATTATATTCTAGAGTTTTATCTAGTCTTATATAGAGTATAGCTTTGTATTTCTCTTTTATAGTGCCTACGTAGTTAGCTCTACAGCTAAGTATATCTATAGCTCTATTTTTAGTACTCTTTTAGTGTTAGATTATAAAGTTTAGTGTAGCTAGCGTTTCTACCTATCTAACTTATTATTAGTTTAGCGTTTTTGTTATTATAAACGCTATAAGGTTCTTATAGTCTAATACTACGTTAATAGAGTATTTAGCGCCTTCTAAGTATATTCTCTATTTCTTTATTACTACTATAATAGCTATAAGTTTCTTATTATACATATTATAGTTAAGTTCTAGTACTAAGAACTTTCTTAAGTAGAAGAAGTATAGTTAATACTTGCTATCTTCTCTAGGTTAGCTAAGGTATACCTCTAGAGCTTAGTCTAATATATCTATTTTAACCTATATTAGTTTATTTTTATTAAACGTTTATAGTAGTAGTGCGGTAGTAAATATTTATTTTAGTATCTTAAACACTTATTATTATAGATCTTTCTACCTAAACTCTTAGTTCTTTTTAGTAACTTCTATAAGTAGAGTAGTAATCTATAAATACTCTTAGATAAACTTTTAGTAGTAGTTTGTAAATTCTAGAAAGAATTATACTTCTTTTACTATTTAGAGTATAGGCTAGTTTAGAACTACCTAGACCTTGTCTGTCTCTATCTAGATTCCCTCTTAGGTTAGGTAGAATTCTAAATAGCTAGTCTTTGTGTAGTAAAACTTACTCTTATCTAGAGCTATTAAAAGCCTATACTCTCTAAACTTCTATAGCGTTTTTTATACGTAGTTCTTATATTCTTCTAGTTCTTCTTTTAAGTACACAAGTATATTATCTAGGTAGGCTATAGTAAACCTTTCTATATATTTATGTAGAGCTACGTTAATTATACTCTAGAATGTTACTAGTACGTTAGTAAGTCTAAATAGTATAACTAGGTATTTATATAGGCCTTCTTTTATTCTAAAGGCTATCTTCTACTTATGTTCTTTCTTAATTTGTATTTAGTAATACTCTTCTCTAATATTAAACTTTGTAAACTACTATACTCCTATAAGCTAGTCTATAAGTTCTAAGATTATAAGTAGTAGGTAGTAGTTCTTCTAGGTTACCTAGTTAAGCTATTAGTAGTTAATATATAGTCTTAACTATTTGTTTTTCTTTAGTATAAATAGTACTAGAGAGGCTATTAGGCTCTAGCTTTTCTAAATATATTCTTTGCGTAGAAGTCTTTCTAAGTATCTTTAGAGCTTTTCTCTTTACTTATAGCTAAGTAGGTATATTAGCTCTAGTTTTAGCGTAGCTTTATCTTCTATAGGTATCTTATAGTTCTATAGTTTGTGTTCTAGTAGAACGCTATTATTCTATTTATTAAATAATAACGCGAACTTCTTATAGTTTTTTCTAACTTTCTAGAGTAGTTACTCTATATTAGTTTATAGCTTCTATATCTATACAACGCTAACGTCTTATAGTTATTTTCTTACTTGTTTTGTTAAATCTATAGAGAATATTCTTTTAATCTTTACCTCTAGCTTTTAGTAAGCTCTTAAGTAGTGTCTTGCTCTAGCCTTTTATGCTACTTTAGGCCTTTCTTAGAGTTCTAACCTAATCTAACTAATGTTAGAGTTATGTCTTTATAGCTAATCTAGCTCTAGAAGTATATTTATATTTTCTAGTTCTATAATATTGTAGAATTTTTGTTTCTATATCTCTTAGACATTTAACACCTATGCCTTAGTCTCTAAGTAAATCTATTCTTAGCTAAAGGTAGGTAGCTAGTCGTCTATAAGTTATACTTAGTATAGCTATTATTTTTCTTAGAATAGTATATTCTATAGTTTTACTAAGCTAGTAGAAATATACGTTTTTACTACTCTACTATTTATATAGGCTATAAACTCTTTATTTTCTAGTGTAGCTTTTACGCGTAGCATTCTAGGTTTTAGAGTAATAATCTTACCTATAGTCTAAATAGAGCCTTTCTAGGCTAGACCTCTACTTTAGAGGCCTACTAGTTTTTTAACTTTAAGAGAGTAGCTAGTGCTACTCTCTATTTTTTCTCTACTATATGTATTAGATATTATTTTAACAAGTATATAGTTTAATAGATTTTTGTGTATTTATCTCTAGCCTTTTTCTTGTAGTATAGGTATTTCTATTCTAGAAAGTACTATCTATAGTTAAGTATATAATAATTAGAGTATTAGGCTCTCTATTCTATAGTTTAGTACTATTCTTAATAATATTAGCATTCTATAGCACATTAATTCTATAGTTTAGCGCGATATTTCTTGCTGTAGACTACCTTAACTAGTTTAGGTATTACTATCTAGCTAGTTTCTTTCTTAGAACAAGAATCTATATACGTAGTTACCTAGATTTTCTTATTGTCTAGTCTCTATATACTAGTAGCTGTCTTAACTACTATCTTTTCTTCTCTACTATAGATAACTAAGAGGTAAGCTTAGTAGATATAGTTATATTCTAGGTAGTTTTTCTTATATAACTAGTATAGTTTCTGCTATAAGCGTGCTTTAATTTTCTAGTTATATAGAAATAGTTAAGAGAGCTTCTTTCTCTAAGATAGTTTAGTTAGGTATACTTTATAGAAGAGGTTCTAACACCTACTTCTTTCTATATATCTAGGTTGCTACTACTTAGCTTTTCTAGCTCTAGAGTAGTTTATAGAGAAGCTCTAGTATATCTTCTAGATATATAAGTATACCTTCTTATCTATAAGGTATTCTACTAATTAGGCTACTTTCTTAAGGGCGTCTAATACCTTCTAAAATTCTTTATTAGTAAATAGAATATTCTAATATGCGTACTAATAGCTTTATATATTATAGGTTTCTACGTATATCTAGTACTATTATGCGTTAATATGTTATTAGATTACTTCTAGAGTAAGATGTTCTATATACGTAGAGTATTCTAGCATAATAGTCTAGACTCTAGTAGAGTACTATTCTAAGTTAACCTTATCTCTCTAGTACGTTATATAGTTATTATTATAGTATACTATCTATATAAGACTATTATAGTCTACCTAGATTATTTTAACTATTTTCTTTTTCTTTAGGTATTTTTGTGCGAAGTGTTCTTTTTCGCTATAGACTAGGTATAGTTCTTTCTTAAAGTATTATACCTTTTTCTTTATTTATAGAGTTTGTTTTTCTTTCTATAGAGTCTTAACCTAGTCTAGGTCTATAGAGTCTTCTTAAAATATAGTCTATAGTTATCTAGTTCTAACTATTAGTAGTATAGAGTAGTCTCTACTCTATTAATATTCTAGGTTTTATTTATACTATTAGTTGTTAATTTTTACTACTATTTCTATAGTGTTACTTAGGTTCTTAGGTTATTTAGCGTACGTAATATTATCTTTAACTAACTTCTTTAATCTCTTATAGAAGAGTTCTACTAGCGTAAGGTTATTCTAGTTTAGGTAAGCGCTTAGCTACCTAAATATTACTACGTACTAGAATACTAATCTAGTCTATTATAGTTAGAATAACTTTTTCTATACTACCTTATATGCGTTAACTTCTCTAAACGTTTCTTTAAGGTATTTTATAAACCTAGTCTAGCTTTTAAAGATTTTGTCTATAGACTATTATATTCTCTTTATATTACTCTTATTTTCTAGCTAGTCTAATATATAGAGTTTAGCTTACGCAAAAGTCTTCTCTTTTATGTTTATTATAGCTTCTAGAATCTTATTCTTATTCTATAGAAATACTATAGCGTTGTATTATAGGTAGAGTTCTATAGCTACTAGAAATACGTTAAGGTTTTCTTTCTTACTATTAAAGCGTTGTAGTAAGGTAATCTTAGTCTATACCTATTATTTTACTATAGCTAGCTCTTCTACCTATTAAACGCTTATCTTCTAGAGTACTATAATAACTTATTAGAGTTCTATAATCTACTCTTCTATAGTTAGCTTCTAGGCTTAGGCCTTTCTAGATTAAGTTCTAACTATTAATATAGTTATTCTACTCTTTAACATTAAGTAGTTATTTTATTACAAGCTATCCTCTTAACTAAGACTAAGGTTTACTTTTATAAGAGAAGGTAAGAGGTATACTTTAGGCTAGAATCTTTAGTAATAAAAGAGTAGACGTAATAATACTATAAATCGCAAGTTACTATAGTAATTTAATAAACAAAGTAATAACTATAAGAAGCTATAAGAAGTAAGCTTCTTCTAGTTATATATATATGCCTTTCTTAGCTAGATTAGGTGCTAAGGCCTAGCTCCTATAGATTAGTTCTAATCCACCTAGCTCTGTCTAATCTATCTAATCCAAGTCACGTGGTCCTGATCATTCCCGTGACCCTGCACGTGACCCCTTGTCTCGTGACCCCGGGCTTGGCCTGCCGTTTCCTCCGTCCTGGCTGGTCCTAACCCTGTTTCCGATCCTGTGATCGTAACATCTGCGCGTGACCATTGATCGAAGTGATGCATGTGCAGGTCGGTCACCGACGCATGCAGACCACGCATCAGGTCAGCCCCGGCAGCGTTACCACCCTTTGAATGCCATGCTGTGCCGTGTAACTTTTGCAAACTTTGATTCTTGATGTCTGCGCGTGACTGAACCGTTGTTAGACATTGAAGTAATGTATATGCAGGTCGGTGACCGACGTGTGCAGGCAGACCGTTGGGCCCGGAAGCGGAAGCGTTGATCCCTGTCGAAATCATGCTGCATCGTGTACGTGCTGCGGAGTTCGTAACCATTTGCTGTCTGCGCGTAACTGAACCGTTGGCTGGCATCGAAGTGTCGCAGATGCAGGTCGCAAACTGACGCATGCGGGCCGTAGACCAGCTGGGTCGGCCCGGAAGCGTTTGTACCCGTTGAATATCTTGCTGCGCCGCATAGACTGTGTGGAGTTTTCGAGGGTCATCGTCGATTATCCTCCAAGAACCTCGATGCGGAGCATCATAATTAATTATTCTACAACACGTCGCACCACATGTAACAGCTGTATGGAGCAGCGCATGCCTGTTCCCAGACTTTAACGTGTGACGGAGGAAGCCTTCGTGCATTACGGTCCTTCGTCCAATACTGCAACTGCACAGCCTCGTAACTAGAATATATATTGATCAGCCAATTATGCTCGAATGCAGTGCTTGTTGCAAAGAGCGCCTTAACCCCGTTTTTTGTGTTCTTTTGCTTAACTCTGTTTTCTTTTAAGATCAGCCCGAAAACTGTCGCCGGCATGAAGATCCTATGTCTGCATGGGAACGGGAGTAACAGTAAGGTGAGTTCAGGGTTTTCTAGTAACGTATGAAAAGATGGCACTCAGACACTGAAACTCCGCGGCTCCCTTAGATGATGCAGCTACAAACAGGTTCGTTGTGTAGCGAACAGCTCAGGCTGCCATATTGATAGAACTCAGCACCATTGAGGCATGAACTTGAAGACGAACATGAGTATGAGTTTGTGGAGGCTGCCGAGCAGGCGCCTATGGCGGAAGGTGATTGCACTCTTTCAGCTCAAATGGCTCTGCGCGTACACGTATTTGCTCGAACAACGCCAGTGCTGACATGGCCAATCAGGGCTGGAAATGCTATCATCGCCCGGAGAGTCATTCTACGCCTTCTACAATCCTCGGGATCTCTCTAAACTCCAAAACTCCATCAATCAGCTGGATCGTTACATATCAGCAGAAGGACCATTCGACGCTATCATGGGATTTTCTGGTGGAGCTGTGCTAGCTGCCATGTATCTGAAGCACCAGCATTTCCAGCAGGATCAAGGCGAGGGTGAGGCGAAACTCCCCTTCAAATGCGGAATTTTCTTATCCAGCGCTTCCTGCAGAATGGAGGGGAGAACCGTGGGGGTGGATGTAGAAGGCGCTGGTAAGAGCTTGATCGCGATTCCTACAGTGCATATATGGGGATCGAATGATGCAATAGCGCCGACTGGAGGTGAAGACGTGAGCAGCATGTGTGATCCAGCACAGCGACAGATCCTGGTTCACGATGGCGGACATGAAGTCCCTCGCCAAGATTACTTGGTGGAATCGGTGCATGCTATTCGCCGAACGCTGGACCTGGCTGAGCGCAGGTCTGGAACCGGGGGCCAATACATGGGTGTTTAGACGCACGTTCGGAATGTACCTAGGTATTTAACCTATCTGTACGGCGAGAGCCCGCAAGGCATCCCCGAGCCCCTTGAAATCCAGAACTGTTAATTGAAGTTGCATCAAACCGCCGGACTAGCAATATATCCTTGCCGATGCCAAGCCGTAAGCCGGACTTCGTAGCATAACGTGTGAAAGACATACCCTGTTGCCTTCAACTTCAGCGACTCGCCACGACTTCGCCGCTTTCGTCTTCCCATATCCTTCTCGTTGGTCAAACTCACCGATTTCTTCCTTACCCGTGGTTAACGTCTTCAACAATCATGAGCGGCTCCAGGTGCAACACCTGTAGCCGTAGGAGTTCGCTTAGCCGTACCGGCGAATTGCTGCCTGGTGTGAACGATGGAGAGAGCGATTCTTCCGTGGAGGTATTTCCCGGGCTGGACGGAGATGAAACTGATCCAATAGTTGTTTGCGGCTTTTCTTTCAAGTTCCCACAGGAAGCAACTTCTCCTGAAGGCCTCTGGGAGATGATGATGGAGAGAAAATGTGCAATGACGGAGTTCCCTCCAGATCGAATCAATCTGAACGGCTTCCACCATCAGTACAGTCGGTTGAATACGGTGAGTTCGGATCATCCATAGCCTCTTGCACGGACTCAAATTCGTACGTGCTAACACCCGAAGAGATACCGATCAAGGGCGGGCACTTTGTCAAAGACGATCTATCTGTCTTTGATGCTGAATTCTTTTCCCTTCCGCCCACTGAGGCGAGCTCGATTGATCCAATGCAGAGGTGGCTTCTAGAGGTGGCGTACCGAGCGCTGGAAAACGGTAAGCTCCTGAATGAGAAAACTGCTCACCTCAGACCCGGGTCTCTGATAAATATGTGGCTAATGATCTTGGTAGCCGGTATCACCATGGAGAACATATCCGGAACTCGTACTGCAGTCTATACGGGTTCTTTTGGTTTCGACTACATGTTACAGTTATGTCGAGATCCTGAGAATCCTCCGTTGTACGCAGCGCTCGGTTTTGGCATCAGTATGCTCGCAAATCGACTTAGCTGGTTTTTCAATCTTCGAGGACCGAGCATAGGTCTTGATTCAGCTTGTTCGAGTTCTGCAATGGCTATCGACATTGCTTGCCAGTCGTTGCGCAATGGTTCTTGTGACATGGTACTTACGGACGTCAAATTTATCTTCATGTAAGCTGACAACCACAGGCCATGATCGCGGGATGTAATACCGCCAGCTCTCCGGAGTCATATATGTGGATGTCGAACATTAACTTTCTATCACCAGACAGCCGTTGCCATTCCTTTGACCATCGAGCTAACGGCTACGCTCGAGGGGAAGGTGTTGGAGTGGTCCTTCTAAAGAGGCTTTCTGATGCCCTCAAAGATGGAAATACTATCCGCGCAGTAATCCGGTCAGCAGCCTCAAATGAAGATGGACGAACACCGGGGATCACGCAACCCAGCCGTTCCGCTCAAGAACGCCTAATCAAGGAGACTTACCGTAAAGCGGGACTCTCCATGTCACACACCAGATTCTTCGAAGCTCATGGTACCGGTACTGCTATAGGAGATCCTCGCGAGGCACAAGCCATTGGTTCGACCTTCCGGAATTACCGTTCCACTGAAGATCCAGTCTATGTGTATGGATTACAGTCTACATTTTATGGATACAAATGCTTATCATCAATACAGAGGAGCTGTCAAGTCTAATATCGGCCATCTTGGAGGAGCTAGTGGTTTGGCGGCCCTCGTGAAGACCATTCTTGTCCTGGAGAAAGGAATAATTCCTCCAAATGCAAACTTCGAAAAGTTGAACCCCAGAATTGACGCGGAGTTCTTGAAAGTCAAAGTAAGTGCAGAGAGTTCACGACACGGCTCGGTTGAGAGAGAGGCGTGTGCGGTAACCCACCTCTGCGAAATCATGTATAAAGGAATACATGGGATTACACAAGAAAAGTTACTTAGGACATACTGACCACTGACCAGTTTCCCGAAGAAGCGCACCCCTGGCCTAGGACGGGCCTTCGAAGGGCTTCAATCAACTCATTCGGTTATGGAGGCGCAAACTCCCACATCGTTATTGACGACGCGTACAACTACCTACGCTTGAGGTCCTTATCGGGAAAACATCACACATCGCCCCACCCACCGAGATTATCCCATGTACGCGATCTCGTGTGTGACGTAACACACAAGAATGGATACGTCTGCGAAGAAACACCGTGCAAATTACTTCTCTGGAGCAGTGCGGACAAACAAGGCATTTCCCGAATGACGAGTCAGTTCCAAGGTTGGTATAAGACCAGACGCTCGCCGATATCACGAACATGGGGAACCTTCCTCGGCGATCTAGCGTATACTCTCGATAGCCACCGAAGTCAGCTCCAGTGGAGATCCTTTGCATTGATACAGACTGCAGCAGAACTCTCCGACTTACAGTCACGACTCTCTTCCCCAGTGAGAGTACGGTCCAAAGCGCCTCGGATTGGGTTCGTATTCAGCGGACAAGGCAGTCAATGGTTTGCTATGGGGAGGGAGCTCATGACTTATCCTTCTTTCGCGATGGAATTGAATGAAGCTGAACATTATCTGAAGAGCTTAGGTTGCGATTGGTCTGTGAAAGGTAAGTTGTCTAGGTCTATAGGCAGGCACGTATTAAATGCTAATGTACAAAAGGCGAATTACTGAAAGACAAGGACGAATCCAACGTAGACAGCCCTGAGCTCAGTCAAACGCTTTGTACGGTTTTGCAGGTGGCGCTCGTCAACCTACTCCAAAGTTTTGGCGTAATGCCCTCTGCTGTCGTTGGACATTCCTCAGGTGAAATCGCAGCCGCGTAAGTCAACACTGAGATCCACATCCAAGCATCCTGAGAAACTAGGTACCAATTCTAACACTCGATTTTAGTTACGCCGGCGGATATATTTCATCGGAGTCAGCATGGAAATTGGCTTACTATAGGGGCCTCTGCGCGAGGGTATTGATTGACGGTTCGAGTTCGAAGCCAGCAGGCGCCATGATGTCTGTTGGATTATCACAACATCAGGCCGAAGACATGGTCGCAGCCCTTAACCGACACGCGTCGACGTTCGGGATATGCATTGCCTGCATCAACAGTCCCAACAACATAACAGTCGCCGGCGAATCACGACTTATAGACCAACTCAAAGCACAACTAGATGCAAAGCGAGAGTTTGCACGGAAGCTCCGCGTACCAGTAGCCTATCACTCTGGCCAGATGGAAGATGTCTCTAGGGAGTACCTATCAATCATTCAGTCGGTATCGAAACCTCATCACACTAAACGACGTATCCCAATGATATCCAGCGTTACCGGAGCGCGGGCTGTAGCAGAACAACTCATGGATCCGTCTTACTGGGCGCTGAACATGACGTCACCTGTGCTGTTTGCTCAGGCTGTGACAGTCATGTGCGAGCAGCCCGACGCTGTTAAGAAAATCGACCGAAGCCATCTATTTGCGTCAGTTGTGGATCACCTGCTAGAGGTAGGACCACACGCAACACTGCAAGGACCGCTCCGCGAGATTCTTCGCCGCACCGCGCGCGGGAAGTCCATTGGCTACAACTCAGTTTTGAAAAGAGGCCACTCGGCTGCTGAATCAACACTCAACGCTCTGGGCTATCTTCACTGTATTGGATATGCCGTAAACCTACGGGCAATCAACACGTCGCCACTGGAAGCCTCGAGCCGAGCCCTACCTTCATTACTTGTCGATCTGCCAGAGTACCCATTCGATCATTCTCAGCGCTATTGGGACGAAAGCCGACTAAGCAGAAACTATCGCCTGAGATCATTGCGCCCTACACAGCTACTGGGTGTTCAGTCTAGGGACTGGAATGCCTCTGAAGCGCGATGGCGTGTTTTCATTCGTGTTGCGGAGATGCCTTGGGCTGAGCAGCACGTCATCAACGGGGTTGCTCTGTATCCAGCCACCGGTATGCTCGTAATGGCGATCGAAGCCGCAAAACAATTAATAGGGGGAGCTCACGCGATACACGGCTACACCCTTCGTGATGTGCATATTGAAGGCCCAATGGACCTAGGCAATGCTGCTGGGGATTTAGAAGTGCAAACTCATCTGCGCAAGCTAGAACACACGAATCCCGATGTAAAAATATTCGAGTTTGCTATCCGTACCTGGTCTAACGAGGACTGGCTCATCAACTGCCGCGGCTTTATTGCCGTAGAGTTGTCTGCAACACTCAACGGTTGGGTGGGACAAAAGAATATAAAACGGCAACGTGCCATCGCGAAAGACCTCGAAGCGTCGAAATCCCACTGTACGGAGCCAGTTGATGCTAGACATATGTACACCTTTCTTGAGCAAAACGGATACAAATACGGGTCGGCCTTTCGCACGGCGCAGCAACAACACTATAATGGAGAATCCAGCCAAGCCACGGCCGAAGTGGAGCTATATCGACTATCAGAGGATGACCATGTCGTTCATCCGGTTTCACTCGATGCTATCCTTCATCTCGCCTTTACAGCCTTATCTTGCGGGGGCACAAAGCCAATGGCGACAAGTATCCCTTCTCGGATTGGATGTCTTTGGGTGTCAAGCGAAGGCCTGTCGTGGCCTGATCAATCAACAATGACGGCTTGTACCACTATTCAGAGCGTCACCAAGCGCGGATTTTCCTGTACTGGTGGGGCATTGAGCAGTGATCCCTCGGGACGGTTACGGTTGTGGTATGAGGATTTCGAACTAGTCAACATCACTTCGAAAGCGACAGAAGCCGCGCTTTTCCCAAACCCGAAACAGTTCTGCATGAACATAGAGTATAAGGTCGCGTTGGACAAGCTGAGCTCCTCGGAGATACGCGATTTGCTTCGCAGCTCCCGTCCTATTACTCAGGATCTGTCAGGCTTCTATCAAGACATACAGCTACTCGTTCTCACTACCTTGGAACTACTGGTCGAGGCTGTAGACCTCACTGCACTCGAGAGACAAGAGCCATGGAAAAGGTGGTACTTGAGCTGGGCTGAGCACCAGCTTAAAGAACATTGTCCTGGCTCGCATACCCGCAATATACGTCAATCGTTCCAAGCGCTCAGCGAAAGTATTTCCAGCACAAGTAAAATGGGTCGTCTCTATGCGGAGGTGGCTTCAAACATCATTGCAATGTTTAACGACGAAGTTCAACCACTCGAACTCTTACTGGAGTCCGGTCTGCTGAAAGGTGGGTATGATGAGTGGGCCGATTATGACTGTGCGAAGCAAGCCGCAAGCTACATCGATTTGCTAGCTCATCAAAGGCCCGGCATGAACCTTCTCGAAGTTGGCGGCGGCACCGGAGCAACCACGAGGAACTTTACCAGCGCACTTCGAGCAGGTGCAAATACGCCCATGCGTTCTTTACGATGCAACCGTTACGATTTCACTGATATCTCTGTTGCATTTTTGGAGAAGGCCAGAACAGAATTCGCCGATTTTGTTTGGCAGATGACGTTCAGAACATTGAACATCGAGCACAATTTTGCCGACCAAGGCTACACGGAAGGGTCCTACGATATTGTTGTAGCTGACAATGTGCTTCATGTTACATCCAACCTAGGAAAGACACTGCGGAATGTTCGAAAAGCGCTCAAGCCCGGAGGGAAGCTGATTATGCACGAGCTGCTTAGGTCAACTGGATGGACCGCAGGATTCATCTTCGGTGTCTTTCCAGGATGGTGGCTTGGAGTTGAGGATGATCGTGTTTTGTCGCCAAATCTGACCCCCGAAGGGTGGGATGAGGCATTAAGAGCCAACGGATTCTCTGGCGTCGACATGGTCCTGCGTGACTTTGATACTAAAGATTCCCATCAAGTGGGCTGGCTTGTGGCTACAGCAACGGAAGAGAAATCGACCGTGTCACCAATTGTACAACCTCAATCGCGGCATCAGGCAATTGTGGTCATTGACAAAAGCTTGGAGCAACAACGACTATTATCTGATGACCTGCTTCCTCCGATTTATAATCTGACTGGATTGCAGCCTCACGTTCTGGACCTTGCAACTGCGGCCAACATTGAGATCAACAAAGAGGCGCTAGTCATCCTTCTACTTGATTACGGACCATCCTTCCTTGCAGACTTGGATGAGACGAAGTGGAAACCCATGTCTTTTCTCATACAGAAATCGCGTCACCTGCTCTGGGTTTCGGCTGGCGGAGGCCGGGAGGCGAGCCCTGACCACGGTCTACTTGATGGCCTTGCCAGAACCCTGCGATCGGAGTACTATGATCTCCATCTTGTGACAGTCGCTTTGGAGCTCGCCCAAACAAAGACCAACAAGGAAACGCATTTGGTGGAGGTCGCTAGGGAGATGCTCTCGAGGACACTCTACCAGAGTTACGAACAGGACTACACTGAGATCGACGGCCTCCTACACACGAAACGTCTTGTCGAAGCACGTGATCTCAAGTCAGCCATGGATGCAAGAGTTATACCATACGAAGTGTTGTCGACGCCTCTTGACGGACAGATTCGGTTCAAAGTGTCCACGTCGTCGTTTCCGGGATCTGACATGGAATCGCACTACGTCCGAATACCTGAACCTTTATCAAAAAGCCTTGCTGGAGGCACGGTGGAGATTCTAGTCCGAGCAGTCTCCCTCCGGTTTGGAGATCGCAGCACACTCCTGGGGGGAGGCGATAATCCTTTGTACGGCAGTTATTGCTCGGGAACAGTTCTTAGCGCTGGTTCAGACTGCGCATTTGAACCAGGGGATCGCGTTATTGCTGCCCATGCAGGATCATTCCGCTCGCATGTCCGGGTTCAACGCCAATTCGTAACCAAATTGCCGGCTGCTCTATCTTTTACCGATGCATGTATCTTCATTCCCCTTCTCGCGAGTGCATATAATGCATTCGTTGAGGTAGGTAGAATCAAGTATGGCAAATCAGTATTGGTTCACGACGGAGCCAGCCCCTTTGGACAGGTTGCTATACGACTGCTTAAGGATCGGGGAGTGACAAGCATATGGACGACAGCTAGTAGCAAAGAGGAGAGCCATGAGATCACGGAGGGCCTGCAGCTTTCAGAAGAGCATGTCTTCCCGAAATCTTGGTTCGAAACTCAGTCAACACTTGCGACTCTAGGGAAGCGAAAGTTCGACATTGTCTTTGGCGACCATACAGATTCCCCGAGGCTTCTACTGGACTACATCACATCCGGCGGCCAGTACGTTAGGTTCGGCCCTATACCCTTGTTGGCCAAAGATCGCCAGGTGGTCCATTCCGCGCCTGAAAACATACGTCTGGTCACGATTCCTGTCGAGATGGCAACCACAGAGGCTCTCAAATATGCGACCGACATGTCTTCCTTAGTACCTACGAGCCTGAAAGATGAGACTGTGGTCCTTCCAGCCTCTGAACTGGCTAGCATCTTCTCGAGCTTGAAAAGCTCAGCCGACCGTAAAGGGGTCGTCGTGAGGTTTGACGAATCAGATAGTGTAGACGTAAGTCAGCCATCCTACGCAGACCTTACTAAACTAATCAACTGGTGTAATTAGGTCAGGGTTCATCGTAGCCCTCCCCACCATTTTGACTCTGAGTCCACATACCTCATCGCTGGGGGGTTTGGTGGTCTGGGCCGAGCGATGGCCCGATGGCTTGTCGGTCGGGGCGCTCGCTATCTGATTCTGCTCTCGCGATCTGGTCCGCGGACCACCGAGGCCCGAGACCTCATGAAGGATCTTATAGAAAAGGGTGTGCGTGTCGAAGCACCTTGTTGCGATATCTCCGACAGATGGAGTTTGAGATCTGCGTTGAACAGTTGTGTGGGAGAATTGCCCCCTATCAAAGGTTGCATCCAGTCAACGATGGTCATGACGGTACGAGAGACCAAACGGACCTTCGATAACCCAAGGCTGCAAACTGACAGATCTTATCTAGGAGCTCATTTTCCAAAAAATGGAATTTCAAGACTGGAAAACAACAGTCGATGGGAAGGCCCAAGGCTCCTGGAACCTTCACGCTGAGCTTCCAAAAGGCCTTGATTTCTTCATTCTCCTATCGTCAGTCATGGGCATCCTTGGAACCGGATCTCTCGCAGCATATAATGCTGGGAATGCCTACGCAGACGCTTTAGCTCACTACAGAATCTCCCAAGGCGAACGCGCCGTGGCTATCGATTTAGGCGGTGTTCTCGATGCCGGACATCTTGCGGAACATTCCCCTGAACTCGAAAACGTCCAGCGAGTGGAGAAGCATGCACTCACATGTGTAACGGAGATTTGCGCTTTACTGGATATTTTCTGTGACCCAGAAAGCCCCTACGGAAAAAGCCCTACCGGCTGCCAGGCTATCATCGGGCTCCGTCCCCCAGCACATTGGAAGGACCTCGAGGAGGTGCCTTTCACGATGTCCCAGCCATTTTGGGGTCATATGCATCACGTTGCTCCTTTAGATGGCCTTGACAAGGATAGCGGCCGGAAAGCAGTACCGCGCGAGCAGAGCTTTGATATGGCAGGCACGCTCGCTGTCACTGGATCCGTAGCAGAGGCTGCCGAAATTGTTTCCAGAGCCCTTGTCCGTCGCATTTCGATCATACTTGGTATCCCCGAAGATCGCCTGGATGACCATAAGCCAATGCACCAGTTTGGAATCGACTCCCTCTCTGCCATCGATATTCGGAACTGGGTGGGTAAAGTATTCAGTGTCGATATGCCCGTGTTTGACATTTTGGGAGGTGCGACGTTTTCTAGTGCCAGCATGACTATTGCACATAAATTGCAGCTGAGGTAGTTGATTCATCATACGTGGAATATCACGGCGTAGCCGTTAATTAGGGAGTGAACGAATTAGTCGATAGTGGTAGCAAATAGCAGAAGTTGTAGTCTTGGGCAGCAACCATTTGACTCCCCGAGCCCCGTAACGCTGTACAATTCAAGCGTTCCATTACGTCGGCCCAACGCTCTACACTTCATAGAAGAGGAATTCCCGGTCAATTATGTGCGAAGCATGCTCAAGCGGTCCAAAAGTCCATACAGCCGCATCGTCGGAGCGTGATTGATAATATATTCTTGTTCCCTAGGTAGTCGCTGTAGGTCAAGCACATCCTAGCTTGTGTCAAGGCACTGTACTAGGAGGTGCAGCGGTAAAATTCCTGGGCCATCCTCTTCCTCAAACCGGTCCCTTGTCCTCGCCTATAAAGGCATCCACTATCGCCTTTGTTTCCTTGACATCATTCTCATCATAGAACCTGAACCCGTAGGACATGATAAAGTTTTCCAAGTTGCTGCAGCTGCTCTCTATCCAGTCCAGCTGGGCCGAAGAGAAGTTGTTGTCGGCTTGATGACCTTCGAGGTCATATTCATCGTCCTCTTCATCGTCCTCGCCCTCTCTCTCGTCCTCCTCTTCCTCCTCATCTGAGGACTCGTCCATGAAGACGCTAAAAATTGGATCGGCCTTGGACGCGGTCTTTTTATCTGTGGATATTGAGGCCGTGCTGCAAGAGAAAGTGATATTCATCGCCTCAGTCTTTCTTGGGAAGGGCCTTTCTTCATCGGTGTAAAGCGGATTGTTCTCAGGCGCGACGATGACAAGGCCAGCGTTCGCTTTGAAGGCTTCTGGTGGCGGATAAGGGCAGAAGATTGTCGTGATCCTTTTGCTCCTGAAAGCTTCCTACAGCCGAATACGTACGAAACCCCGACTTCAGTGCCCGTGGACCGAGTTTCAGGCCCGATAAACGATCCAGCAACTTGCTGGCGAATAGCGGGTGGTCGAATTCGAAGTATGCTATGCGTTTTTTTCTTCTGTTTTGGTAAGGAGGGTGTACACTGATGGGGCTGAGTGCGGGCAGGTCTAGTGAATTGCTCGGCACGTGACCTGTACCTAGTGCTGCATGTTGCCCCGGATCTCTTCCTTACGCATAGCACGATCATTGCTCCATTTTGGCAACCGCTAGTTGTGTTTCAAGTATCGCAGTTATATTTGTCTCGAACTATATCATCACGGTTACTCATTTAATTGCATGCTGTTACCGAATATATAAGGCATCATAACTAAAGAGCAGAAGGATTGGACGATCCTTTTGCCCAATACATGCCCATAGTTTTCTGATCCGCCCGACATTTGTGATATCGTCTAATTCAAGTTCAACGAGGACGCGACAAGCAGCCTAACATTGTGACTACATGGCTGCATGGCTACGCCGCTAAGAGCGGGGTCATCCGGAAGCTGTGGTAAGCTGAGTTGCGGGCCTGATATGCGTCTAGTTTCGCTGTGCCACAATGAGAGATTGTGCTATTTCTTTATTCATTTCCCCGCGCTATTCCCCGCATAGCATCCCCTAATTCATTACTAGTCCTCTCAAAGATACCTTAGCATGGATCCAGCTGTCACACCCCTGCTTACGCGCATTGGGCAACTGGCGGAGGACCTGAGTGAGCACGACAAAGTTTCTTCGAACGCGCAAACTGGAAGGGAGCTGCTGAAGACCGCGCAAAAGCTGTGTATCGAGCTTCAAAGCCCTGGTCAGCTTGTGGAAGAAGTTCTTTTTGGCGTAAGTTAGTGAAATTCCGAGCCCAATGGGAGTAGGACTGGCGCTGATTGTGTGGCTCTCTACACCAGTCTGCAGACAACCTGCTCATCAAGATTGGGGTAGACTTGGGCATCTTTAAGATATTGGTCGAAAGCGATGGACCAGTCACGCTGGGACGGCTCGTTGAGCGCACCGGAAGCGAGAGGACGCTGCTTGAGCGTATCATGCGAGGTTTGGCATCGATCCATGCCGTTAACGAAACCAGCACAGGCGGATATGAGTCAAGCAAGCTCACAAAGGCCTTCGCGTCGACCAAGGGTGATGCTGGAGCTCGGCTTTTGTAAGTACTTCCGAGAACTCATCACTGAAGAGCTATTGAGACTGTGCCGAAGTTATGACCTGGTCATCCCGGGAATGCAACCCCTTCCCAAATTCCTTGCCGAAACGGGATACAGAAACCCCACAGATCCATCCCATCTCCCTTTCAACTTAGCATTCGGACCGGACCTGTTCTTCCAGTGGGTGCCAAAGCACCCCGAGGTCCTTGAGAGACGATGGATGACGGCGCAGCGCGAAGGGCATACGCCGTGGCTAGATTTCTATCCCTTCAAAGAGCGGATAGCTCAGGGCTTCGATTACCAAGATCCAGAGGGCGTGTCACTGGTCGACGTCGGCGGAAGCATGGGTCAGGAAATCCAAGAGATAAGGAAACGGTACCCATCACTGCCAGGACGCATGATCCTTCAGGACCTGCCGAGCACCATACAGCAAGTCCCTCCCAGCAATGGCATGGAAGCTATGGCGCATGATTTCTTCACACCGCAGCCGATCAAGGGTTAAGTTCCCCGTCCACCCACACAAATACTCACTGATGCGGATCAACAGGAGCACGCATATACTACCTTCGCAACATTCTTCATGATTGGGATGACGAAAAATGCATCAAGATTCTCCGAAACATCGTGGCGGCAATGAAGCCTGGATGTTCCAAGGTATTGGTGAACGAGTTCGCCATTCCAGACCACGATGCATGCGCGTTCGCCATGCGCTCGGACTCCATGGTCATGGCGCTGGCGGGGGCAGTGGAACGGACGGAGCGGCAGTGGCGGGAGTTGCTTGCAGCCGCCGGGTTGAAAATTGAACGCATTTTCACCGCTGAGTCGGAGTCGCAAAGCATAATTGAGGCGTGCCTGATGTGAGAGGTAGCCGTTTATTCTAGTAAAAGGCCTTTGTTCATACAGTACGTGCCAGCCTTCATCGCCGATATATGTATGAGGTTCATCTCATTGAACCGTGTCGGTAACCGCTGCTGTGATATGGCAGAGAGCTACGCTAATGTGAATTGCTCACCACGTGTACGACTAGACCCAAAGAGGCAGGTGCTTGCGAAAGGTGATTACCTCCACTATCGCCCCGCAACTTGTACGTCGTCACTCTCATCACTCTTCGATATATCATTTGCATATCAAAAGCTTTCCGATCGAGAGTACTACACCGCAAGAGATTTTCGTATGTGTATTGCTTCAATCCGCCTATCCGTTGACGGCCTGTCGTTCATTCCAAGGTTTATCTGATCTATCTGCAGCCGCCTTTTCACATTTACTAGGTCCATTGCATCCCATATCTTCAACGACTTCTATTCCGATTTACGAGATGGAAGAACGATCACGTATCCCCGTCGGCCCACCCGTCACCAACCCCCTCCCCTCCTACTGGCAAACCCCCAAATCGCCCCTCGCCAACGTCATCGAGCCGGAAACCGACGCGCCAACCCAGCCCTACGACTACGCCATCATCGGCTCCGGCATCTCCGGCGCCCTCATCGCCTACAACCTGCTCCTGACCTACCCCACATCCCGCATCATCATGCTCGAAGCACGTGAGCTGTGCTCTGGCGCCACAGGCCGCAACGGCGGCCACACGAAGGCCGCCAGCTACCGCACGTACCTGCAGCACCGCGCGGAGCTGGGTGCGGAAGAAGCGCTGAAGATCGCGAGGCTGGAGTATGCGAATATTCTGGCGACGCATCGGCTGACGCAGGAGCTGGGGATTGAGTGTGAGAGCGTGAAGTGCAATACGGTGGATTTAATCTACGATGAGACGACTTTTGAGGCGGGGAAGCAGGCCATTAGGGCATTAGAGGGGGATGCAAGCGAGGAGGAGAGGAAATGGGGCGGCATGGCGTGGTATAGGGTTTATGGGAGGGATGACGGGCTGAAGCAGAAGTTCTGGGTGAGAGAGAAGAACGGAAACCCGGAGGTGCAGTCAGAAGAGGACCTGGTAGGGGCATTCGAATACGTCGCCGGCCGTATCCACGCGTATCGCTTCACGACGGGGATCCTGAAGGAGTGCGTGAAAAGGGGCTTACAACTCTGCACGAATACCCCCGTGCACGACATCCGCCCCTCATCAGAACCAAACCCACGATATGACATCTTCACGCAATACAACACCATCTCCGCGCAGTCCGTCATCCTCGCAACAAACGGATACACGCCCTATCTCCTCAAGTCGCTGCAAGGTGCCATCGTCCCCCTCCGTGGGCAAATCACCGCGCAGCAAGCCAGCCCGGCCACGGGTCTCCCAAGCGTTCTACCGCGGACGTACTCCTTCATCTACGCCTCGGGATACGAGTACATGATCTCGCGGAACGAGCCCGATGGTCAGCAGCACATCATCATAGGTGGAGGTTTGGGCCGCCAGCCTGATGCAGGCGCGAGCGAATACGGCACCGTAGATGACAGTAGACTGAACCGTGATATCAGCAAATACCTGCACGGCACGCTCTTGGGTTATTTCGGCATCGCGAGCCCATCGCCGTCTGAAACATCATCCGAATCCGATGACGCGTCCTATAAAGTCATACAGGAATGGACGGGCATCATGGGCGCTACAGCGGACGGCCGGCCGTTTGTGGGCGAAGTCCCGGGCAGGAAGGGTATGTGGATATCAGCGGGCTTTAACGGCCACGGAATGGTTCTGTGCTTGAAGTCAGCGGAGGCGCTTGTGAAGATGATGAGCAAGGGTGGAAGTGCAGAGGGGATAGAATGGTTCCCGAAGAGCTTTTTGATTAGTGACGAGAGGATTAGGAGTTGCCGCTTTCATGGCCGGACCGATATGAGCGTGCCGGAGACGGGGAAGGGATCAGTTGGCCATGAATCGCGCGTAGAACCGCGCGCAGTATAGAAATAAGGCAATAGAAGAAATCTGCGGTATGTGCAAGTAGGCTTGCGTGAGAGGTCCTGGGCGTGAACGCTTCATAATCCTACGATGCCCTCCTCACTACGCATCCCATGAGACTCTGCAATCTGCCGTTTTGCACGCTTAACATTTGCATTCTACAGACCCTTCGTACAAATATTAGAACCATACATACTAATATAACCCAAGACAAAAACACCGCCAACAACAGCCCTAATTTGGCTCCAATTAGGCCAAACAACGAAATCTTTCATGTGGGCCTGATGCGTAATTTGGCTGCGTATTTCCTTTTCCATTTTCCGCCTTTCTTTCCCCATCACTTCTCATACTCTAAACCATAAATTTATGCGCAGTAGTGCTAATGCCCAGAGCGGCATCAGAGGAAAGCCAGGTGTTACAAACGGGTGTGATAGGTAGAGTTACGTGACGCCGCAAACACCAAGCACATTTTCCAGAGTCGCCACACCAGGTCGCGAGCCCAGACCCCCACCAAGCGTAGGGCCTACCACACACCACAGGACTCAAATTTCACCTCAGCCTCCTACCAGCCACGATGTCCAAGTCCCTCGCCCGGCGCGAACCGGCTGCACCACCCACCAAGGTGCTCAAGACCCATCGATCGCCAAGAAACAAATCAGCGCCCCACCCCGAGCGGCATATCATGCACGTTGCTATGGTAAGCGTCCCGAGTATATGGATTGCGGGCAGCGCGTACGCTGCAGACCCGAGCGTCTGGGTGCAGAAGCTGCAGGGCCGGGGGCTACTTTTGATGAGCTTATTTTGGAGACGGGGGATTCTGTAGGTTAGATCGGTGGGGTAGTCTGCTAGAGGTGTTGTGAGGGGTGGTTTGAAGTGCTGAGGTCCACGGGGGGGAAGGGTGGGCAGTTTCTGGGGCTGGGGGTACGACGACGGACCGGAATGCAGTGGGCGCTGTGCGAGGCTTTGGCTTGCATTCTGGGGTTAGAGTGTTTAGTGGTTCCATTGGAGAGAGATTGTCAAACTTCACAATGGACGGAGCTCATAAGCGGATACGACGGCTTTTTGCTTTTCGACATACAAGTCATCACTACTCTACTATACAACATCATCAACTCATCGCGCTCGTCTCGTCATCTCATTACGCAGGACCCATAATCCACATCCACACCTACATAACCAACGTGCCCTGCCCACAAGGCGCGGCATGATTATGCACATGCCCCTGATCAAATCTCGCCATATACCTCGCCATTTCGGCATCCCTCTTCCGCAGCGTAGTATTCGCCTTCGGGATGCCCTCGAAGCTATTCGCATACATAGCAACGCTATTCGCAATGCTCTCCGTGTTGAGCAGATACGCATCCTCGGCAAGATTATCGACAGTATCACCGGCCTGGTGGTAGTTCTCGTCGAGCGCAACACCAGCCGTGCCGCCGAAGAGCTGCGCCTCCTCTTCTGTCTTGAGCTCCTCGGCGCCGGTGAAGAGGCCGCCGGACGGGATGCCGTTTTCCAGGAAGGCGGCGTAGTCGGAGCGCATGGACCAGATGGAGGGGACGTGCGGGAGACCGCGCTTCTCGTAGAACGCCTGGAAGTCCTTTTCGATTTTTCCGGAGCCGGGCGGGCCGGAGAAGTTGAAGGCGCTGCCGTCGCCGTCGTAGACGCCGAGGACGTAGTTCGGCGACGCGATCATGTCGAAGTTGAGATAGGCGCGGACTTTGGCGACTTCCTTCGCCGAGCCCGAAATAGTCCCGTTGATCGTCTTCAGGTAGTGGTAGGAGCCCAGGAGGCCGAACTCCTCGGCGGACCAGAAGGCGAAGCGGACGGCGTTCTTGGTGGTGTACTTGGTGAGGGCTTTCGCCACGGTGAGCACACCAATAGTGCCGGATCCGTCGTCGTTGATGCCCGGGCCTTCGAAGACGGAATCGGTGTGGCCGCCAAGCATGAGGACATTGTTCTTGTCGCCGCACTTGGTTTGCGCGATGACGTTGTACGTGGTGCGGTTCTCGGTCACGGCGTCTACGACCAGGGTAGCCTCCACCGTACCGGCTTGGATGGCAAGGAGCAACGTCTGCCCGTCGCCCTGAGAAATTCCAACGGTGGGCGCGTAGTCGCCTACGCCGCCAAGTGTGCCGGCTAAGCTGCCCTCTACGTTGTTGTAGACGACTGCTCCGACGGCGCCCGCCGCTTTGGCGTTGGTGGCCTTTTGCGCAAACGTGCAGGTTCCTCGTGAGATTAGGGCGATGTTGCCGGAGACACCAGCTGGGAAGTCTGCTGGATCGCAGCCGAGATTCGCGACTGGAACTAAGGGTGCTGATGCGTTTCCAGAAGGCGAATATGTCTTTAGCCGTCAGTGCCCAACCCTTGAATGTCGGAAGCGAGCTTAGCCTACCATGTACGCAGCCGGATACTCAGTCCCACCAACGGTGAAACTGACTGTTGCAGACGAGAACAGCTCTACGAAAGGCTGCAGCGAGACATCGTAGTAGCCCGTCTTCTTGAGGGTCTTGTAGAGCCAATTGACCGTAGCGTTATGGCCCGGTCCACCGAAAGCGCGGTTTCCGCCATTGGCGTCAGCGAAATCCTGGAGTTGCTGCGATCCGGCGAGGAGATCCTCGAGCTTGATCTGCTTGATGAGCTCCTTGGGCGAGACGAGTTTCTGCCCGCACAGCGCAGGAGCAGCGAAGCCAGCTGCGACGAGAACTGAAGCGGCCCTCATATTGATCCGATCCGAAGCTCCTCGGAAAAAAATGAAGAGAAGAAGCTGTGGAACAAATCCACGGTCGACAAACCCCACCGCTCTATATACCTCCCCTCGCCCTCAATATGGGCTTTTTGTGTACCACGGTTCTCTAACCCAGACAGGAAGCTCCCAAATACCATCGCAATCAGGCACCGGCACACAGCGACCGCTCGCCAGGCAATAGGGAACACCGCATCTTGGCCGTTTCTTACATTAGCAGGCAAAGAGATGCATCTGTGCGACTTGGGAAGGAGATTGAAATAGCCCCTGTGCGGGCCGTTCTGGGCTTTCGGCGGACACGGATCATAGGGCGTGCTGATTGGGATGGAAACATTGCGCCAAGGTACGCGACGGGGGTGTGCGGCTCGGCAGGGAACGCCACAGTCTTGGGTGAAGATAGCAGTATCTTGCCACTGGCCGCACGGTGTGTTCCTGGCAGCCGCCGAGGGATCCTGAGGTAAGTGGTGGCGTTACGGGTGCTTGTGCGAAGATGGAAGGACGGAGGGAGAGGAGAGAAGGACCGCGGAGGTCGATCGACAGGAGTTCCCGAGGTCGGTTGAGAGCGCTAACCCGTTTGGGACCGCACGAGACGAGGTTCGTGCGACGTCGGTTGTCCAAACCTTGGAACGCACCCAAAGTATTATAGCTATCGCTGTCAATGCGGGGGATTGTAAATGCGCCGGCCAAGATAAATAATGATTTGAAGCCGACTTTGCAAAAATTAGCATTATCTTCATTACGCTACGTGAAGCTCAATATCTAACCAGATAAGCCATGAGGCGTCTATCCGCCGCAAGCATTCATCTATAGTTGAGAGCCCTCCTTCATCTTGAGCACGAAGCCGCCACGTTCCATCGTGTTGACGAAGATATATCCGCTCTTGAACAGCGCATAGCTGCTCCAGGTACCGACAAAGTCCACGATGCCACCGCCAGGCTGGTTGTCGTCTTCAGGGTAAATGTCGAAGAAACCGACTTCCTTCACGCCGGCACCGGTGGGGTCCTGCGGAATAGAGCGCACATCTAGGACTCGGAAGCCTGTTCCGTAGTTCGACTGGTAGGCAAAACCGTTGGCGACGTACTGGTTGTGGTCGATACCCTTGGCACCGGACTTGTACAGGCCAGTCTGCTTCGGGTTCTTGAGCGATGAAATGTCCCATATGTAGGTGATGGGATTTCCGGGCACACCCGGGCCGACCTTATCGTACTCATCATACTCATCGTCGAGGAGAAGATAGTGCTGGTTCTCAACGTCGAGAAGAGCGCCCTGATGAGTGTACGAGGCACCTTCGTAGGACGTGATGGAGATAATCTGAGGACTCTTCTTGTCTGTGACGTCGTAAATCGTGAGCGTATCCTCGTTGTAACCGTAGCAGATCTCGCGACCCTCATACTGAGCATCCGGGCCCTTATAGAGGACGCACTGCGCGTCATGAACATAGCCATCAGCAGACGCACAGCCGGCGTTGGTTGGCTTCGAAGGATCGGAGATGTCAATGAAGATGATTCCGGATTTGCAGGCATCGCTCCTCGGCTGGGCTCCCACTGAGTAGATGTAGTTAGTCTTCGGATTTGTGACGACGTTGTGCGTGCGGCCAGTGGGGAGCTTGTCGTAGTGTCCAACGAGATCTTTGTCGTTGCTGAAGGTGACGGGCTTCGCGGGGTCAATGTCCAACAGCTTCTTCATGTCGAAGATCTGAATGCCGTGGCCCGTTGCCTCGCTTCCAATTATCATGAGGTCATTTTGAGCCCGGATCTCGCGCCATTCGCTCGGGACAGAGTATTGGGGAAGACGCCCGAGGTATACAAGCTTGCCCTCTTTGGATATTTCAGCGAATGCTGTGCCGTCTGACTGCCCAATAGCCATGAACTCGCGGCCATCGGCACTGGTCCAGCCCCACGATGACGAGCCAAAACCACGGGTGCTTCCCAGTTCAGCGTGCGAAAGGAAGTGGTACAGATCAATCTAGAAAGAGTAAGGCAAGGTATTACTGAAGGCGAGCCTTGGTGCTCACGTTGTTGCATTTGAACGTGTCGTTACCGGCAACGACGGCGCCATTAGTACACGGCATAAAATCTTTGATTTCGGCGTACTGCGCCGACTCATAGACGCCCGCAGCCCGTTGCCGTCCAAACGTCTCCTGCGGGGAAGGTCAGCGCCAAGCATAGTGTATGCACGAATACGGCACGCACCATCTTCAGAGCGATATTGTTCTGGTGTTTAATACCGGAATCATAAAGCTTCGCCGCCTTGACCTGGTCTTTGGCTACCTCCTTAGCCGCCACGAGGGCGGACAGCGAGAGGAGAGTGCTTCGAAGGTACATGATGGTAAGTGACGCAAAAGAAAAGCTGGACAACAAGGACGCGTTGGACGATGCAGCGGGTGTAGAGAAGTGCTTTTATATCCCATCCGGTTTACATGGAAGCGGTGGATCCGAGTCGCGAGGAGATGCATTCTCAGTCGCTAACTCGGCAGGTAGACACACTGCCTTCCAAATGCCGATGCTATCGCCCACATCCAGTCGCGGGCACGAGGGCATGATTGGCAACTCCCAAGACACTGTTGAGTGTTGATGGCCCCGTAGAGTGCGACATTGGTCTGTGTAAATTAAACAAAGCTTGCGCCATAGGACAAGCATCGGATGTGGAAGGAGCCAGTAATAAGGAGGCCTTGGCGACAACGATCCCCCATCGACGGAGCGGTGCGAATACGGCGCGCCGAGAACGCCCAGATTGCAGATCCCTTGGGCTTAACATGCATAGCCGTTATTCGGGACGTGATAAGGTGCTGTTGACGCCTTCATCTCCGCTGAAACGGGCGGTGGTGAGCCTCTGTCCCTCAAGGCGTTACCTTGCCGCGTCCATCGATCAATTCAGCCCTCTAGGCCCGACGCTACATGTCGCCGAACGGACGCCAGGGCACGTGAGCCGGATTGCAATGCATCGTTGTTTGCGGAAGGTCGAAGCTTATCAGAACCCATACCGACGGCGTGTGTCTCCAAATTAATTCGGGCGATAACGCAATCGCAGGCTCGGATGAACGAAGCGAAGATAGGTGCGAGTAACCTCGGGAGCACGCAGTGTTCAGCGAGGTGGACAGGGCGGTCGGGGATGGGCAGTGGCGTGGTCGTTGAAGGATGGGATCAGGGCGAACTGCTTTGGCTTCTGTCCACTCAAATGGTCCTCGGTAGCATGCATTAGCAGACGCGTGACCAGCTCCGCTCAGTAAGCGACACTGGTGCCCATAGATGCAGGTGCATCTCAACGCGAAAAGGTTGCCAGTCGACGGTGGGTTGAAGATGGGAGCGACAGCATGCCAGGTGGGAGAAAATCGAATCCGTGGACGGCGGCCCGGGCTCACCTCGTGCTAGACCCGATTCGGATAGGAGCATTACCATAGAGCACCTCCCCCGAGTGATCGTGGCGAGCTACAAGCAAAAATACCGGTGTCCATCAAGGGCTCGGAGCGTGCCTGCCGCTACGGATCTCTGTGATCTGGTCAGTCAAAGGTCCCAATCAGGCAGGAACTGCCCGGGCGTAAGAGACGGAGAAGGAGAAGATGCAAGTGGACGGTCGCAAACAATCTAGAGTTGATTCCTGGCCGGTCCAGAAGAGAATGCACAGGTCTATTTTGAGCCATGTCCCATGATCATCACCATCTATGTACCGTGCCCTGTCCCGCCGAATGTAGTCCCCAATGCCAGTTAGCAGTATAGCCACCGTGTCCCGCAAACGTCTAGATCTTGCTCTCGACCTCCTTCAGGCACTTCTGGAAGTCCTTCCAGTCGTACATGACGGTGGCGGCTTTGGTCTGGTCGGTGAGGAGCTTGGCCATCTCGTCCATCTTCTCCTTGCCCTCCTCGATGCCGTAGATGCCGACGTAGGCAATACACGGGATGCCGGCGCGCATGGCGGCCGTGGCACCGCTCTTGCTGTCCTCGACGGTGACGCACTCCTCGGGCTTGACGCCCAGCTCCTTGCAGGCGTGGATGTAGATGGCGGGGTCGGGCTTCGAGGTCGGGGGGTTGAGCGACGTGGCAGCCGAGTAGACGTGCTCGGTAGGGAAGAAGTGGTCGATCTTGGTCTTCTCGAGAGAGGCCACGACGCGGCTCTTGGCCGAAGTGCTGACGACGGACATCGGGTAGCCCTGCTCCTTGAGCCTGTTGAGCTCGTCGGTGACGCCGGGGCACTCAATGGCCTTCTCGCTGAGCTTCTTGGTAACGGCACCAAGCTCGCGCTCGACGTAGTCCTCGAGCTCGGCATCCTCCATCTTGAAGTTGTGCTTCGCCTGCAGGCCCTTGAGCATGCCGCGGAAGTTGTGGCCGACAAAGTCCTCGAGCAGCTGGTCCGTGGTGTAGCGATGCTCGATGTTGTGCTTCTCGAGCACCTCGTTGGTGAGCTCGGCGCAGGCCTCGAAGGCCAGTCGCTCGGACTGGACGAGCGTGTTGTCGCAGTCGAGCATAACGTACTTGACCTGTGTTTACCGTTAGTGCGGGGCAGGCGGGCAGACGGGGGCAAGCGCGGGGCATCCTCACCTTGCCCATGGTGACGGTTGCTGTGAGCTGTGTAGGGGCGGGCGGGTGCTGGAGTGCCAATTGACGGAGTGAAGAGTGGGAGGATGGTGGAAAGAGTGCGGAGAGTGGAGGAGAAGTATTCGTCGGGCGGCGAGATAAAAGTACGTGCAGCAACGGCGCACGGTGATGCGTTGGCGAGGAAAGGCGGTGCGCAAGGGGAAGGCGATCCGCCGTTACGTCATTGGCTCGGCTAGGGAGGCGTGGGCCTTCGAGTGGGCGTCGCTCTCCTCTCTCACTTCTGATAATCGCTTCACGCCTCGCGGAAAGCTGCTTGAACGCATTCGGCGTGCCGTTGTGACGCCCTACGCTGTCTCCTTCGTCTGTGTTCGGTCACCAGCGCACACCGCCCTCTCGCAGCGGCAAACCCCACGCGCCCCCGCCGCCCGTGCTTTCTTTTCTGATTCATGGCACCACTCCCTCACTCTCGTGCATTGCCAGAAGCAGTTTACCCTCAGTTGGACGGTGTCACGAGAACCTAAAAGTCTTTCCTGAGCAGAGCCCAGGCACGCCGCACCTCCGACCGCGTCGAGACCAACATGTGTCCCGGCCCGCATAAGGGCCGCTCCACCGAAATCTCTGCTGCCTCCTGTATCACCTCAACCAGACATCGAGCCTGGCCACCTGTGCCTGCATGCGGCTGCAATCTGCCTCGCCTCCGGGCCGAAAGCATGCCTTCCCCAGGATTGAAAGGCCACCCAAGCGGCTTCACGTGACTCGCTTGCTCTTGCCTCAGCATCGTCTCCGGGAAGACGGCCGGTTAAACCAACCTCAAACACGACCGACACACCAAGGAGCATCATAAGCCCAAGTCAAACGCCAAGTCAGAGTTAAGTGCACTCAAGCATCCATGGCCAAACATATTCGATCTCAGCTAATACGCCTTTTTGACCCATCCATCGTTACTTTCGCTATCGCGAGCCTCCATCTGGAGCGCACCAGCGCCATACGCAGTGCTATGGGTGAGCTTCGGCGTCGTCACAGAGATCGCAGCAACTGGGGCTACTCGACTCCCGTTGTTGGGTAAATGCTGTTCTACCCCAGGCGATCCTGCTATAAACGAATCCGCATTGGAGATCAAACACAAAGCATAACGACATCTCGTTTCATGGATCTCCTCTACCTTTCTTTTGCCTCTGATGTAGTACATCCGGCCCGCAGACGACGTATCTGCAGGAGTGCCTCACCCGTGAGCGGCTAGCACGGGCAGGCTACCTTCCGGTAGAGAAACCTTATGACCTTCTCCCTGCGCTCTCTTCCTCCATCGTCTTCAGTCTTTCATTCTTACGCCGTGCTGGTCACTCACTCCTTTTTGTCGATCGCTTCTTGTCATCGTTGATTTTATTGCAAGATACCCACATATTATTTTCGTTAGACTCGCTATCAAAATGCGTGCTTCATCCTTCTTCGGTGTCACTCTCTTCGCCGCCACGGCGCTCGCTCATGGCAACATTACCAGCCCTCCTGCTCGCCAACCCGGTCCAGTCATGCAACAAGTCTGTGGCGCTGCGGCTGTCTCCGCTATCCTCGCGGACGGAACCGGGCCTCTCGAAAACATTCCCAGCAGCGGTGCAGCTGACTGCAACATCTTCTTATGCAAAGGCGCTCAATTCGAAGACAACCAGAACAACGTCCAGGTCTTTGCGCCGGGCGAGGTGGTCGACTTCGCAGCCCAGCTACCCATCCCGCACGAGGGCCCCTGCAACGTCTCCATTATCGACACTGCCACAAATACCGTCGTCGGCCAACCACTCCTGGTCTTCGACTCGTATGCCGACGAGAACCTAGCGCAGCTGCCACTCAACAACACCGCCTTCAGCGTTACGATGCCGACGGACCTTGGCGCTCAGTGCCAGACTCCGGGTGATTGTACCATGCAATGGTTCTGGTTTGGCACTGCTGCGGTGCAAACCTATGAGAACTGCGTCGACTTTGTCATGTCAGAATAAGCCACACATACAGTCCTCGGTCACCCCACACGTACGGAATGGTACTTGTGATCATCGCAACATACCGCTGGAACCTTGAACTTGCAGTTCGGCATTAGGCGGCCCATTCGCGCAGTATTGACGGTTCTCCTAATTGGAATGGTTCTCCTGAGGGGGGCCCTTCACGTTGTATTACTAGATCATCCGAGCATATATACCTACCTCCACGTATCAAAACCGTCCACGATGCTGTGCCAGGGGACTTGCACCTCCCTCCTCACTTCATTGCCCTTTGTCACACTGCAAGATAATTATATCGGTGCCTGTTCGGTTGTTCGTTTATTGCGATATGTACTCCTGCTGTGCCAGCCTACGCCGGCTTCCTCGTATATACCTCCCGCATAGTCGGCCTAGCAGGAAAACCCACAAGTCGCAACCATGCCTACATAGCCTTCACCCTCTTGTGCACTCATACGTCAATGCCAGAGCACGCCCCAATACGGCATCCTCCGACCCCCGTCATACGTAACATCAATATCAACGCATTTCCCCTGTAGTCGCACTGCCTCCACAAGCTGCACTTCCAGCGCCCGCGCCAGTGCATCAACCCGGCTTCTCTCCACATCCTCAGGCGCCAGCATCCCGCCCTCCCGCACCGCCGCCTCGTCCACATACTCAGTGAGCAAGAAGCGCACGCGCTCCAGCCGCTCCAACCGCGCAATCACGCGCGCCCAGCCCGAAAAGTCGACGCGCGGGAGCTCACTCCCACCCCGAAGATTCCGTGCCAAACCGTCAAGATCAGACGCGCAGAACTGCCGCACGTTAAGCTGCAGCTCCAGCTTGCGCAGCGCCGTACACCCGCCTAGCAGCTTCTGCAGCTCCTCCTCCTCCTCCTCCCCCTTGCTGCTATACATCAACCCCGTCATCGCCAGATCCCCCAGCATCCCGCGTTTCGCGCGCCCCAGGCTGCGCAGATACGAAGTGAACAGCGGGAGGTACTCGTATGCGTACGTCACGAGGCGGACGCTGTTGCGCGCGTAGAAGAAAGAGCGCGCTTCTTGCGAAGTGGCGCGGCTGACGCGGCTGAGTTCGTGCAGGGTGCAGAGGATGGCAGCGTGGTCCTGCGGTGCGTGCTCGCGGAGGCGGAATTTTTGTGGCGTGCGCGGGGAGGGGACGAGCCAGAGGGGTTTAGCGGAGAGGAGGAGGTGCGTGTAGACGGCGTTGCGGAGTTCGGGAGGGAGAAGGAGGGTGGCGTGTGGGGAGCGGGTGTTCGGAGTTTCTGGTTGCATTGTTGTGGTGCGCGGTGTGCGGGTCTGCGATGGGGAGCTGGCTTGTTTGGGGAGCGGTTTGCGGGCGGCGGAAGGAAGAATTTATAGAGGGGGTGGCGCAAACGGACAGAGCAGGATATTGGGTGTAGGATTGGACGTGGGGTATGCGGCGCTGGCGTGCTCTTGAAGAATACCACCTTCACGTCTCTGCGAATAGCGCAAGATGCCTGTAGAGCGTCTGCTTTTGATGGAATACGTCTGCGCGACGACCAGCGATAGAGAACGCAAGATGTGCAAAAAGAACCTATTAGCCCTGAGAAAAAAAAAAAAAAAAGTTAGATTTCAAAGGAGATATCCTCGCAGCGAAGATCAAGCGGCTAGAGGATCAAAGGAGATATCCTCGCAGAGAAAGCTCAAGCGTGAAACCGTTTATTAAGGTCGGAATCGAACCTATGATCCTCGCTACGACCACCAGATCGGTTGTGTGCAATACCAACCTAGCGTTCACGGAGATATTGTAAGTTTCTAAATAAATAATTTATATACAATATAATTATCCTGCGCCCGTCAAAAGAGTAGAATGTAATTTAATGCGTGCTGCGTTCATGATCTGCGCTAGATAGAGATGCGTTCAAGAATGCTAAGTCTGGCATCAAACAGCCGAACACGGAAGGATTAGGGCATTTTACGTTATTAGATGTCACGGCCATCGCCGCGTTAGCCGACGTAGGCGGTCAAGAACGGTGCAAAGCGCTTTCTGAGTTTCAATAAGCTAGATTCACGTTCGGGTATGTATCCTCGTCGTTGCCCCAACTAGTACCCCTTCTGGATGCAGAGCTTAGAATATAGCTTCTTTTTTGCTGCTCCTGTATATTCAGTATGCTCCTATCTTCTTTATGACGAGGTCGATCGAATTGATGACGGCCGCTCCAACTACTAGACGGCATGCGCAAGAACAGTGCATGTGTCTAATGGCCCTAGAGGTCAAATACCCTCATGAGCGACTACCCTCTAGCGGATTAAGCCATGGTTTTGTTGTGACTAGAGCGCCACAGCCTTGTGGCGGTGTATAGAGGGCAGACGGCAGCAGTGAAATATATCTACTGAAATCTTGGCACCCACCACTTCCATCAATACCCCACCATCGCACGCTCAAACACTTTCCCGCCGGTCACGAGACACTCCGACTTCGATTGCGGTGAGTACTGTGCCCACTCGAGCTCTCAGCCACTGACGGGACCGCATTAGGGCTAACGAGACATCTTCGTTATGACGAACGACGCGCAGAAAACCAGCCGCATTCACAACCTGGACGAGGTCGAACAATATCTTCGCAAGAAGCACAAGGCCGCCTGGAAGACGCTCCCCGGCCCGGAAGCCTGTCGGTTCGTCGACGTCGCCCAGCGCCACTTCCCCGAAGACACGTACTGCCAGAAGGCCATGTATGTGGGATCAATCCGAGTCAACAATCGTTTTGAACAGGTGTATGCCTACGTCAAGCGGACTGGAGCAGTAGTCTATTGCCGCGGCGAGACGGGCAGGCAGTTGGCTCGTACCCTTTACGCCGCAATCTGGTTCGCGCCGCCCTTTCCCAAGAATGAGAACGAGAAGCGCCCCCGCCTGAGGGGCCACAGCTCCCTGGTCGTGTACAGCATGCTGCGCGGCGGCTATCTAGATAAATTCATCGAGGTTGACGGCACATCGCTGCAGCGCCTTGGGTATGCGTGCGACAGCATATCGCGGGAATTACCTTCGATGCAAGTGGTCGAGAACAAGTATGGAGAGGCTTCACTCGAGAAGCTGGCGAAGCAGCATGATGTACGGTACGGTAAGTAGTTGCATGGAGATGGCATCAATCGCTACCTACAGATACCTAAGCTAATTGATGTAACAGAGCCCTCCGGACAGCCCGAAGACAGCCCAGCAGATACGAGTGACGATGAAGAGTGGGAGAGGGATGGTGATAATCAACGTGTCCTCCAGGACATTCATGAGGAAGACCATTTAACGGACGAGCATGTCGAAAGCGAGGCCGCCGATATCCTGAGGCAAACATTCCAACTTGCCAAGCAAAGTAGCCTGCGTGTCTCTGCACAGCATGCATTCGGAGTGGTTATGGACAAGGACCTGGGAGTCGCAGCCTACAAGGCATATGGTACGTGTGACAGTGTGCCGAAACCATGCCCGCCTTTTTACGCCGATACGTTTGCTAACAGCTTCCGCCACGTTTGCAGAGATGGCCCAGCAGAAAGACTTGAACCACTTGGCCCGCGCCCTCCTGAACGTCATGATGGAGAAAGACCTCACCGGCAAGAAGAATCCACACAAAGCTTTCAATAAGCTTTTCGACCTCGCCTTCGCCCTGGACGACCGTGAGGCGGCCATGGCCGCTTTCGAAGTTGTCCAGCAGACGGAGAAGGCCGCGGATGCCGTTTTTGAGCTCGCCTTGTCAATGAACGAAACCGGGGCAGAACATGTCGCTCTTGTTGGAGCCGAACTCTATGACGCGGACGCGACGATGCACTACAAGGTCGCGCTTGCGCAGGCGAGAAGTGGTGAGGGCGATGTGTATGTTTGTGAGGACTGCGCCGGGAGGATGGGCTTGAAGGAAGGACCTGAGTGATGATGAGACTGGGGAAGTACAGTGGACTGTCACGGTGGACTTTGCACGTCTCGTTGAGCTTCGGGAACATGCACTATTTCTTGCTACATGAACAGTTGAGGAATATAGCAGGGAGTGTTTTGTGCAGTTATTCCTGGATGGTGAGCAAGGTGCAGGCTGTCCGTCCCTGATCGGTGAATGCACCACTAGATATTCTACTGAGCGCTGAACTGTCGAGGAATGGAATTTGTAGTTGCGTTTACGCAGCGTATTTCTAGCGTCTTAGGCGAGCACCTTTAGGAATATCGCGATACAGGCGTACATAAGTATCATGCGATGCGGGTCCAGGTTTACGGGGAGAAGTGTCTGCTGCACAGATAGCTTTTCGTGCATTCCTAATCCCTCCAATCGCCTTTTCAATTGCCTATAGTCTTCTCAGGTCCTCAACAGGCGCGAATACGCACCCTATCTACGATCTCGTACTCGGAGTCTGTAACGAACAGATGCGTTTCTGTGGCTGTGCTCCGGCGGCGGAGGTTATCATAGGCGCAGATAAGTGAAAGAGTGAAAGACCTCAAGGGCCTTGGCACCGAAAACTGCAGAGCTGCCCCTCTGTCTCTTCTGCGCCCTCCTCTTCCGCGCCCTCCTCTTCTGCGCCTTCCTCTTCTGCGCCCTCCATCGTTACGACAACATATCGCAGTGCTGTTACAGTATTCATCTCCCCCAAACAAGCAGTCCAGATCCTAACGCGGTTCAGTTTACGGGACCAGCATCTTCAAAAAATGGCAGACAAGAATATCGAAGCCGACACTGTCCTTACGCTCGATCGCGTACGCGAATTCGTTCAATCTCAGCTGGGCGACTCCTGGAAGAAGCTGCCGCCAGCCGAAGCCTCCAGTTTCATCGACGTCGACCAGAGCACGTTCCCAACCGAAGAGTTTCACGAGAAGGCTCTCCTTGTCGGACGTATCTACCACGATGGCCTATATGAGAAGGTGTTCGCCTACGTAACGCGCAGCGGCCATGTTCTATACTACTGCGGCGCCCACAAGCTATCTCGCTCGGACAACGCCGCTATCATGTTCACGCACCCGTTTCCGAAACTCGCGGGAGGGGAGGAGAGGCCGACTTTGAAGAAGCGTAGTTCTTTAGTTGTCTACCATATGATGTGCGAAGGCTATGTATCGGAGTTCAAGAAGGTTAGCGGCATAACTCTGGTTAACCTTGTGGTGGCGTGTAGGTGGATGGTGCAGGAGGTACCCGATCACAAGGTGTCTTGGACAAAAGCGGAGGTGGCTATCGACAAGAAGCGCAAGAGGGCTCCCAGCCCGGAAAATGGTAAGCAACGCATCCTACATCCTGAGGGCCTTCGGGGAGTTTAGCAGAGTCCACTCGTTCTTGGTACTATGCTGCCTGAAGCGTGACACTGGACCGTCCGAACGAGCTGAATTGAGCAAAAGCAACAGTACTAACTAGACCATTAAGCCTTGTAACAATCTCGAGATGGGACGGGAGACTACCTAGGTAGAAGGGATTATACCACACTGCGAAAACGGATGATCGGCTCAGGGAAATAGAATTTAGATTACATAGTAGAGCATCTGGTACTACCTAGCGGCAGTCGACTATAACTAACGAGCGGCTGCTCTGGCGCAGAATAGTAGAGTGATGATGTGGGATAGCAATGCGTCTACCCATGCATCACCAGCTTAAATCACCTATCACATCAACTCTCTGGTATGGAATATGAGATACCCTCTACGTCGCGAAATGTTTTGGCAGCGGAAATAATCAAAGTGGTGGTGAAAGTGAAGCTGTGAAGTGAGCTGCGGAAGCTAGCTAATCCACAAAGCGCTCGAAGAGAATTACACCGCTCTTTCTTCGATAATGCTTCTCCTCCACTCTTCGCACTCTCTCCACTACCCTTCTACTCTTTACTCCTTTCCCCACGCTCTCCAACCCAAATACGCGGAAAGACACTCGAGAACTTCTCAACGTCGGGCTTCGTCGTCTCAGCCCCTTTCTCCAGCGCCGTCTTCAGCTCCTCAACCGTGTCGAAGTAGCACGTCGTCTGAACCAGATACGGAGGCGTTTCTCCGGTCAACGGACACGGATTCTGGAACTCGGTGATCGACCAGGAGCGGAGGCCGTACGGACGCCAGGTTTTCTCGATCAGGGGCATGTGCGTGGAGAGGTAGTAGGTCATGTCGAACTTCAGTGGTTCGCCGGTTTCTGGGTGCTTGGAGGGGTAGGCGACGACGGCGGCGATTTTGGATGCCATTTGAGAGGAAGGAGATTGGTTGAAGGGTAGGGAATTTAGATTTTGTATGGACTTTCCAGGACACTTGGATGATGGACTGACCTAACTATCATTCGGGCGAGATGGTGGGTATGATTACGTGGGGCAACGTGGGACAAAGTGCGGAGTCCCGATGACTCGGCTAACCCGACTCGTCCGGTTGCATGCTCGACTCGATAACGCGCATGCCGTGGGGCGATGTCAACTCGCTATTGAGATCTGTCAAGATCTGGTTAATTAACTAATATTCTAACAGCAACAGTTGGACGCTGCATAAGATGAGAAATGCTGGGCTGGTAGAATAAGATCACGTGATTAATCTGCTTCTAAGGTTAGAAAAGGGAAAATCTCGCCTATTACAATCATAATGTTCTTTCTGACCTAAGTGACGGTTTTTAACTAATCGGTGTAATAGCTTACAGGCCCGAGAATATATCGAACGAGACTTCCAGTCCCACACAACCCGCGAATTATTACGGCGGCGCCACGGGTCTTTCTTTGGCACAATGTGCATCTCTTTAAGCCAAAATGTGCACCACTTCGAGCTCTTGCTCAGATAATTTGGACTGGAGCTGGTTGATGTAAATGAGGGCGGGATTGGGTTGAGCGGCGATGTCGAACACGGCTGTCTAGGCACTAAGGGTTTAGACCTTGTTCCCGGCAGTTGTTCCTTCTCTTCGGCCCAGGCTATGCTACTAACGTCATTTCAGATATTGGTAGCGAAAATAGTTTGAAGTGAATGAAGTGTAATGGTCGTGCTCGGCACGCACAGCGTTTCCAACTCTCACCCCCACTCTCAACCTCTCTTCTCCATTCTTTCTTTTATTCTTTCCCATTCGAACGAATCCACAGCAACCAAGTCGTCGCGACCGCTTCTACGTCTCCATCACCCCCGGGCAAACTCAGGGTAGCACTAGCGCACGATGGCCTGCCTGCAGTCTCACCATTATATAGAGTCATCTTCAAGCACGACCTCGAATATGATCGGCCGTAACTGGCGCATCTGCAACTGGATTGGTGACCTACACATATTCAACCACAACTGCGATCCCTCCACCTGCAACCTAATTGCGGCTCCGTACCCGCTGGGACATTTCACGCTTGAGATCAGCTGTAGTTCAGATTCCGGAGACGATACGGACGCGGCGGGCACGAGGTTTTCTCAATTGCGCCACGGCTTCAACTTATCCTTCGACAACGGAAGAAGCCCATTGAAAGCGCTTCCGCCCAATACAAGGATGGATGGAAGTCCTCGGGACCCCAATCGCAAAGCTTCGGCGCACTTTCCTTCGTCCCCATCGAAGAGACCCGCTCGAAAGCCGCCCGTACCAAAATGTCAACAACGATGGAAATGGGCCCATACTTCCCGTAACGCCACCAAGGAGCGTTTCTGCTGACCCGGATGCAACCCTGCGGCCGGCTCTAGGGGTGGAACAACTCACCATTGCATCGCCTTCAACAGGAGCAATAGGATTGTATGGCCAGGTGCTTCGCGCCGCCTCGCCGCCTAAGCGATGGAATGGCACCGCTAAAGAGACGGATGAACAACCCAAAGGTGTGGGGGACATGATTGAGCCGTCCGAAGCTTCGACTAAATCCGTCGACTTCGATGTCCTGCGCACTATGCATCCCTCAGTGGTGTTCGATCAGTCAATTCTCAAAACTAGCATGCTCAATGATTTCTGATTGTCAGACTGCGTGAGAAACCTTATGCGGGAGATTAAGCACTTTCGCCGTCAGAGGGCGATAATTCCGGATACACTGAAAGAGGGAAGGGGACTTATTTCAGCCTTCACTATCAGACTGACCTAATTTGTAGCGGGCAATTGTTGATGCTGAAGAGACAATGTTTGGCCATCCATCTGTACTTACCATGGCACATGGATCCACGAACCGGAGTTGGGACGTACCGGCAAAAGACGACGTTTGGGAATTCCAGGAGATCGCTCGCATCGTAGGGCAGTCCGGGCGCATGGGAGCTGACGATCAGTCTGAGGCGGCATGGAACTCATTCGTGCACAGCAGTATCCTTGAACTTGCAGTAGAGTTCACGCAAGACGTCCGCTGCGAGAACGTTACCACCGCTCGCATCGGGCATAAGTTTAAGCCACTGGGAATCGCCGCGGGTAGCAGCGCTAGTAGGAAGCTTCTCTCCAAGATGGTCGATTTTGCCATCGTCATCCACCCAGCTCTGCATTCGAAACCTCAACAGTCCATAGACAAGGCGCTGGGTGGGCAGCCTAACGATATGCAGATGATCAACCAGAGCAGTGCTGCGTGTCTCAAGAGCTTCCCTTCAGGCGTCCACATCGAGACGAAGAAAAAGGACACTGCGAGCTGTGGACGTATCCAGCTCGGAGTCTGGATATCAGCCTTGTATAAGAGGTTCTTTACGCTTTTCGGCGACGACGTGCAGATCCCGTCCATTTCGCTTCTGGTCGCAAAGGGCTCGAGGTGGGAGATGATGATGGCTTGTCACACCGGAGAAGGTGCCACTACTATCGGCCCGGTCGACATTGGCCATACCGATGACATCGAGGATTGCTATGCTCTGCTAGCAATTCTTAGGGCGCTCGTACACTGGATGGATACGACATTTCGGAGGTGGATTCTCGACCAACTTGATCGAGTTAACGGCGACGGTAAACAGGGGAGTAAAACCAGAGCCTACAGTATTGGGTTTAATGACGTATTCGAGGACCTGGAAGTTGAAAGTTGATGTCCGTCACTTCCAGATATGACGCTCCACATCCGGTGAGCGGCGCGGATACCACCCGCATACGACTTATCCCAGCTCATCGAGGGCGTTCATTAGACAGCCCTCGCTTTAGCTCCCTGTTTTGAAGTCGCTCATCTCGTGGTACGAAAGAGCGGGGGACTTTGCGGTGTAACGTGAGACACCGGCGGGAGTGTTGTGGACATACCCACACTCTTGAGCAAAGCCGGAATATCATATCGACCGTCATTCGCTAGCCATATAGACCATTCCCTCAGAAGGCAGGGTGCCCTTCACCACTTTCAAGAACCTTTTTTTTGGTATTTTCGGGGCTACGCAAAGTATTAACTATTGACAGCATCTTGTAGATGATAAGGGTCTGAAACTTTGTTGCTGCCGGGGTGCATCCGTCGTGCTATCCCGTCATGCAGACTAACTGTATTGATGTGCCATACTTGTCACGGTAATTTGTAATGTGAGATTCGTGTTTTTTGCCACAATCCCTTCAAATTTCATGATGGTACGGCTCAGCCTCACCACTAACCGAAGATGTCGTAATCGCAGCCCGAATCGGTTTAGCGTGAACATGAATGTGGGGTCCGAGCAACCGTCACCGCCTCACTTTCTTGCGCTCCGCCCCGATCCTACATACACACCTTACGGCCGCACTTTCCATTTCTAAATCCACGATCCTATGCAGCTTATGAATCCGCGGCTTAGAAACTAACGCGGCGCGCGGACGATGCTACCTAATCCCGGCAGGCTGCGACCTCATAAGAGCGTTCTATGGTAAGGTGATTCTACGCCCAGGCGATCTAAGGCATCTAAACGCAATGGAAAAGCCAAACTACTTTTGGAGAATCTTGCAGAAATCATGGGGGTTCGCACGACTTCCCTTCCGCTTGGATCGATGGCTTCCCTTTCTCCCAAGAGGTTGGCGCATATCCTTCGGCATCTGGGTTCGACTGAGCGTAGATCAAAGAGACTGTGTCCATGCCCAAGTGGTAAGTCCTTCCAACACATGCGGCATCGAGAAGTCAACTAACTCGAGTAGGGTGTGAAGACTACTGAGCTATACGCTCCTCTTAGCAAAGGCGATATCCGAATTCTTCGACTGGAGCCAGGCACAGGCTCTGACCCTCTCGTGATCGGCTTAGAGCATCACAATTTGTCCAACGCTCCTCCATATGAAGCTCTCTCATATTGTTGGGGATCAGAACGCCCGAAGCGCCGTTGCTTCATCGATGGCTTAGAAGTCGGTATTCTTCCAAATGTTGAGGATGCCTTGCGAAATCTACGGCTGCCCGATTGCCCTCGCCGACTGTGGATCGATTCCGTCTGTATCAATCAGAGCTACTTTCTTGAACGAAACGATCAAGTAGCCCGCATGGACGACATATACCGATGCGCCCAGCAGGTTTTAGTGTGGCTTGGTTCACCAGATGAGCAGAGCACGGTCGGAATGGAAGCGCTCCGCTTCTTCGTCGATCCAGCATCTGTACCCACTGATGCCCCTTGGTACTTCTCCTCCTCGCGCGACGCTGCACTCGGGCTAAGGTCCATCTTGCAAAGAGCGTGGTGGAAAAGATTTTGGACTGTGCAGGAAGCGGTACTAGCTCGGCAGGTGCTTCTGATGTGTGGCAAGCACACTGTACGATGGCGAACTAACATCAGCACCCTCCGGCGCATTAAATTCATGACAAAGTTCGCTGCTACATCGCCGCAATGGGAGCTAGCTCCATTCCATGAGGTTGACCTACAGCCTCTGGTGGAAATAATCGAGGCCCAAATCCGGGAGCGAGAAGAGGAGACGGGCGTCAGAGTCGAAAAGGACATACTGGACGTTCGGTACGAGTTCCGGAACCGACAATGTACCTTTTTCTCGGACAAACTGTACGCCTTGCTCGGCCTCGCGGAAAGTCGACGCATGGGCCTTAAGGGTCTGGAACTGGTAGATTACACGCAGAAGGCGGAAGAGGCTCATGCGAAGTTCGCTGCGGTTTTGCATGGTCTGAACCCTGGATTAGACATACCAAAGGAATGGGTACATGGCCATCTTTGAACGATGGGTATATTTATGTCGCCTCAAAAATACCCACAATGATCTAATAGTGCCAACTGTGCTCGATTATCAATCTAGATAATGACGACTTACTTTGGTCCTGGAGAGTCTCAGCACTCAATGCTGATATAAAGGATTGTTTACATACTGATGGGCCCAGCTTCAGGCTCGCGCATCATTATGACCATATTCCTGCCGCCAAATCTGTCCTATCGTTTCCTCGCCCAGTCCGCATTTTCGCCCTTAGGAGTGTAGCCTGATTGTCCCGGAATCTCTCCCACTTCGTCATCGGGTCTCGGACGGAGTTCCGGTTGAGCTAACTCGGTTGAACTCAGCCTGGCTTTCTTTAAGACATCATGGGAAAGCTGCACCGAACGCGTGCGGAGCCAGCTAGTAGTCCTCGAGGTTGCGGGAAGGCCCCGATGGTTACAATGCTTTCACTTCAGCGCATACCGTTGCTATGGCCACACGTGACGTAGGCTGAGCGACGCACACAGACTAGTGTGGACATACAAAATTTGAGCTTTTCGCGCGTTGCCCTTCCTTCCTCTCCACACCACATCTTCCTCCTCTTTGGGCAGCCCGCTGCCGAACCCCCTCTAGCCCCTCTGGTTCGGATCACACCGGACATCTTTACATTTCCAGGCTTGCGTATTCCGTACGCAGGCTAACTCAGTCCCCTTTGGGTGTACTGAGAAGACGACCGGAAAGGCGTGTTCCGCACGCCCGAAGGAAGTCTGGGCCTAAGAACGCGTGTTCTGCACGCCGACTTAGTGTCTGTCGAGGCACTCTCCAGGTACGGGGAGTCGCTTTGCTATTTTTTTTATTAAAAAAAAAACACAAGAGAAATGGCGACCCCTTTGGGAAACCGTTTTGAGCAACTGCCGACTCCGGCAGAAGAGCCTATTGCCGGCTCAACCACCGACCAGCCTGGTGCCCCAGCACCAGAGGGAGTGCAGCAGCAGCCAGCGCCGGCGAAGCGCCCAAGTGCCTTCGGGAACGACGGCGATGACATGTCGGACTACGACCCCGCGACGGAGGATGCAGGAGACGCTGGAGACACGGCTGGCGAGGACAAGTCGGCTGCCCCGGGGCCTTAGGTACCTAAGGCACCCAAGGTACATATCCTCGAAGCGCTGCCCGAGAAGCTCAAGTTCAAGGAATTCGCCAAGTCGAAGTCGCGGAACCCGTACCCGGACGAGATCCACGGCATTCCCCTAGATGCCGTTCACAAGGGCTATCGCAAGAGGGACCGGCCTGACTTTGGGCAGCTGAAACCTCAAGGTATGCCGGCCGAGGTTCATTTCCTGGACAAGAACCTGCGCGCCCAGTGTCAGCGCAAAGGTCAGCTATCCCGGGCAGGTGTGGTGCAGTTCGACTCGAACAAGTCCCTTGTCAAGGTGTCCTTCCAACCTGACAGCCAGATGTCTTCTATCATGCTACATATCCAACGCGAAGAGGGAAAGGACGTCCTATACCAAGTCTTTGCCAACTCTGTCCGCCCAGCCGAAAAGAAAGAAAGACAAGACCAGAGGACACCTCCCGGCATCAGGATGATCTCCTTTCAGCAAGACATCGATGGAAAGGCTGAGAAGGAGTTTACTGGGAGGTTTGCCCGCGGCTATGGCAACCTTACCGAAATGGCCCAGAGGAAGAACCTGCTGATGACTCTGCTCAGCCTTGTCCCACCAGGCGAGACTGCTAAGAAGGGCTACAAATGTTGCCCTGTGTGGTCTCGTCTCACGGATTTTGAACTGCAGGACATTAGGAACAAGTCCATGACTGCACGGCCAGCAAGCTTCGGATCCTTCTGCTTGGCGATGTCGAAGATCTAGTAAGCAACTCTCGTCGGCAGCAGCAGGGTCGAGAGCGGGCTCAGAATTTACTTCCTGCGGCCTAGGGTGTCCTGCTGACTTGTGTTAGCAGTGTTTAGTGTTTGTATGACGCTCCGAGGATCTCCAGGCTATATAATGTCCCAGTTACCGTCTTCCAACTCTGGGGCCCTATTGCGCTTCTTGCTACCAGCCGCGCCTTGTTTTTTCTTCTTGGGAACAGTGGAGCTCGGTAACTCCGGTGCCAGCCACCTACATGCCATCTTAAGGTTGCCGAGAGTGCCGTTAACGAGGATGTACTCCTTGATAGCCCTCTAAGCCAGATATTTTGCTTCGTTCTATTTAACATGTTGACTACGGTTTCCCATGCTGTGCTTTTCGTTAAACGGGTGCCTCATGGAAGTCAATGTTTTCGCCGCGGTTATTAAATCGCTCGTCCCCGTTACAATGTTTTCATTGCAGCGCATCCCGTCGCTATGGCCACACGTGATGTAGGCTGGGCAACGCGCACGGACTAGCGCGAAAATATAAAATTTGAGCTTTCCGCGCGCTGACTTTCCTCTTTTCCTCTTCCAGGCTTGCGTATTCCGTACGTTGGCCTCCGCAGTCCCCTTCTTTGGGCGTACTGTTAGAGATTGCCCGAGGCGTATTCTGTACGTCAACGGTAGTCTGGCTCATTCAGAGAAGCGTATTC